CGCAAGAAGCCCAGAAGCAAAGAAGCCGAGAAGCCGCGAAGCCGAGAAGCCGGGAAGCCAACAAGCCGCGAAGCCGACAAGCTGGGAAGCCGAAAAGCTAGGAAGCGGAGAAACCAAGAAGCCGGAAGCCACTAAGCCAGAAAAACAAATTGCCTTGTAAGTCGTAAATAATTTTTGATCCTTTTTAAAGTTTTTGATCCTCTGTAAATTATTTTTTGATCCTTTTTTAATTTTTTGATCCTCTGTAAATTATGTTTTGATCCTTTTTAAATGTTTTGACCCCTCTCCCTAAGAAAACTCCCATTAAAACCATCAAAATCATCACATAAAATCCTTCCAAATCCTTATTGAAAATTCCAGACGAACCCCCCTTCTACAACAAGCACCCATCCTACGGCGCATTTCTATCATGGCGCAGATGCTGTGTAAACCCTCGCTTGCACTCCCCAACACTCTACAGGCACTCTTCGCGGTCGCGGGAAGCATTCAAAAAGGTCTCTAGTTAACTTAAGTTACGGGCTGCTGCTTTTGTCTGTACCAACAACAACCACAGCCACAGCAGCAGCAGCAGCAGCAGCAGCAAGCAAGCAACCAGCAACAAGCAACAAGCAACAAGCAACAGCAATAGCAAGAGCAGCAGCGATAGCAACAACAACAATAACAACAACAAATATCATTATCAACACGACGACGACGATGACGACGACGACGACGACGACGATGGAGACGGCAACAACAGCACCAACACACAGCGTGCTGCTGCACTAATATTGACAAAGTCTCGACCCGGAAAAGACGGCTTTTATTTGTGTTCCAAGAGGCTGGAAGAAGAGCAGCCTGGCAAGGCCAAGGCCCCTACTGACCATCACCACTACGATTCCCGCTACGAGTACCGGTACCAGCACCAGCACCATTACCATTCAGCGCTATTTACTGCTATTTCTGCGCTCCTACAAGTAGCTTGGGTGTTCTTCGGCTCCAGGCTCCGTGTTCCGAATCGATAACTGATGAGCACTTTGTCGAGGCACCAGGTGCGACCGCAGATGTGAAGACGTGGGTCGGCTTTGGCCGTGAAGGCACCTCAGCAGAACAAGTACAAAGATCATGTTCAACATTCACAGGAGGCGGAACACACAACAGCGCCTTTGACTTACCAGTGCCGCCACGTGCACTGGACAAACGCAAGCAAGGACGGCCTGAGTTCTTTGAACGATACCACACAAAGCATGGAAAGCAGAGATATGCAGGAGTGATGTCATAGCCTTTGCAGCTGCTTTTTGCAGCTGTATCGCTGAGTGCACACCTTTTTCCCTCTGCAGGAAGTGTGTGGTACTGCGCCATGCGACGCGCTGGCTTCGTAACAGATCATTTGCCCTGCTAGGCGCAGGCATGCAGCCAAGCTGTTTGCAAGTGCAAGGCACACGTCAGAAGAACAGACAGTAGCCAGGGGTGTACAATGGTATACGGCGGGTGCACCAACTTCCAACTCCCCTCATGATGCGAAGCTATCCTGAGCGGCTGTACAAGCTCACAAGCTGGCGCATCGGAATGTGGCCTCGAGGCTCAGCCATATCTCGCAAGACGCGCTGCACGCAGCGCGGCGGCGTCGCCAGCAGCAGGTCCAGCGCTAGCGCCGGCTCCGCCCAAGACCTCGGCAGATGCAAAGCTCAGCCGCCTATGGCTATTGCATGCTATTGCTTACCTCCCGAGCTTCCATCAGCTGCCTGCCCCACGCGATGTCTCTCACTCTGTGAACGCGAGGGTGGCATCTGTTCGAAACTTCTACAGGCAGGAGTGATTGAATTCGAACAATTTCAGCGTGGAGTTGCAGCATGGAAGTTCATGCCGTTGCTGGTTGCGAGATGCGACCACGGCCACTTGTCGGAGTGCATATTGTCTGGACGTTTTGCAAGAGCAGCAGACTTTGCCCACAAGCTTGCGTGTTCATCGCTTTGCTGCAGCATGCATGGGAAGAGAGTGCACATCAATGTGGGTGGGCCGAAGCACGCAGCGAGGACGGTCAATCTTGCCGCGTCGGCTGTTGCAACGAATACCCTGTGCTGACTGGCTGCTATGTCCTATTCAGAATGACTGATGCGCTCACTGCATCTACTCACTCTGTGACGGGACTGAGTTGGAAACTGTTCCAGCAGTCTCCCGCCAATCTCCTGCTGCCTTCTTCCAGGCTGCGAAGGCTTGCGAGGCATCCTTGCGCTTGGCCATGGCATGCCATGGCCATGTTATAGGCATGTCACCATGTGCATGTCTGGAAGTCTTTGGAGGGGGCCTGTGGACTGCGTGCACTTGCCACATCCTTTCGGGCTTCAATGCCATCCGCGGCCTGCCAAGTTCAGAACTCTAAGTCTCTGCTTGTACCTCCTTGTGTGAAGCCAGCACCTTCCCTTTGGAATCCACGACGATCAGGCTTGGAATGCCCTCCACACCGAACTGCTTGGACAGCTTGTCCCTCTCTTCAGCCGCCGAGAACTCAACGGCCAGCCAGTCTCCATGCTCGTTGTGGAAATATTCCTCGCGAGTTCATCCTCTACCGCTGAAGAAAGCAGCTAACCCCTGACAAAGACTGTTCCGGAACAGATGTTCTATTCGGGTCCACAATGTGTACAGTCGAAAAATCCCTGCCGAGGTTACAACGGTTACGACTTTCACAGCTTTGGGATCGAGGACGGGGATGTCCGAGATTGCTGATAGGCACGGGGACTGTGATCGAAGGCCTGTGTGCTATGTCTTTTTATTCGGTGATTAGTAAATTATAGGGTCAGATTTGAATGAATCCTAGCTTTGCACCACAGCAAATGCTACTGGGTACCGAGTAGTCCTACTACTGGGCATGCGGCATGCTGTATCGCAGAATGAAAGGCGACAGGTACGCTGTTCGGCTGTTTATGTCTTTTTGAAGTCCTTCCGAAAGGCCATCCTTGACTTGTGCTCCGAACAGTACAAGCCGGCGATGTTTCATATTCGCCCCAGTGACGCAGAGCGACACTCATGGCTGCAACACATTCTGCGCAGCTAGGACTCTGGGCATGTAATCTGCGGGGCAGACCGCTAGGCCGCTAGGCACTCTTTCGCATGTAAGTTCCCTTGTGGCCTATGCTGCTTTGGTTTTTCGCAAAGCTCAGTGATTCACCAACTAGTTGGTTCTGAATAAGCCTGTCACGCACATGCCGGAGAAGTTCGAACCTCACAGAACAACAGTCTTTGACAACACTCGCTGACTTACATGCATTCCTTCGAAACCATTGTCGTGGCCCCCAATCCCCAAGGACGATCTGCTCCTTACGCAACTTCTATCCACTCCCCCCTCCTCAACTCCCCTCCTGAGAATTCTCCCGATTTCGCAGCTTTACATGTGTGGTTTTGGAAGAGACTTTGGCCTGGTTGTGCATCGCACGATCAAACTTCCTTTGGCTGTCACACTCACACATCAGGCATATCACTACCGCGTCCTTGAAGTCTGCTTCCGATTTGTCTCCGGAAACAAAAATGATCTCGACCTCTTGACCCTCTTGCTTCAAGGACTCGTAAAACCTTGGCTTGCTTTGGTGTGTCTTTGCATTCGCTCAAGGGTGCATCCATGGCACTGCTTCAGGGCAGGAGTAAACGCCCGGCATGGGGGACACCAGTGTGCACCTTGGGAACGTCACGATTTTGCCAACTGCGTTTCGATGGCTCGTTAGCTTCAACATGCAGTGCTCGCAAACTGCGCGTTCAGATGCATTCTGTGCTGAGACCGTCACTGAAGTAGAGCCTTAGTTGGCGAGAACTCGCTCCCGGTGTCACAGCAGGGGCACGGGGTTTTAGTGACGTAACTGGCAATAGTCGTACGGCTGAGATCGGCTAAGATTCGCCACAACTTTGCCGGAGATGTCTCCTTTGGAGCCATCCTGAGAAGCATGGAGCCGTCTGGGATGGTGGGGCCCTCTGCTAACAAGAGCGAACCGTCCTTCTTCACCAAAGGCAGGCTGGCGAGCGACGCCATGGCGGAAGCTTTGGGATTTGGCTCTTGAGTTCAGGTGCTGCAGAACCATCGAAATCACACCTCAGCAAGCCACCCTCAATACGTCACACGAGGTCCCCGCTGTGGACTCGCTTCTGCTCCTTCCCGCGCAACATCGCCGCTCCGCAAGATACGGCTCTCTTTCTGCACTCACTGATGGCACGCTGGACACCCTGAACCTGCATACTCCATAGCAACATACACGGCGCTGAATATGCTGCATCTGTGGTAGGTGTCCGTCCCTCCGAACCGATCAAACGCATCAAAACCCCCATTTACGTGCCACGCCTGCGGACGACAAGGCCGCTGCAGCTGCCAGCACGGCACTGTGCTTTTCTAGGGCCTGAGATCCAAGGAACTCTGCTTCCCTTTGGGAGAAGACCTGGACTGGGCTGTATGCGCAGAGCTTACCGTTTCTTACTGTGGTATTGCAAACCTTTGTCTTGGATTGATGCCTCCAAGCACGGGAGCCGACCGGCATCCCTACATCACGCCCAACTCACGCCCGCAGTGAGGGCAGTCAAAAAATGGGATGGGTCTAACACATTTAAAGCAGATGTGCGTTTTTGACACAATCCATCAGCACAGACCTTGACTGGATTCGTTACTGCATGCGGGAGGCCGCTTCAAATTTTGTTCGGGCCGGAATTTTCGTCAAAGGTGTTCAGCACAGTGTCGCGGAAGCGCGTCATTGGGACAGGCCTATCATAGAGAGCGGCCACGGCGGCCGCATCCGGACGTGCTACGACGTGCTGCTCAAGGCGATGGGTTTGCCAACTTGTGGTTTCGTGCAGAAGGACCCTCCGTCACCTGGCGGCAAACGCTGTAGTACACTGGCTGCTCTGAAGTAGCAAAACATATTTCAATACATGTGTCATCGTTATCGTTGACAAACGGCCCGATGCCGGTTCAAGCTGGCAAGCACATCGCCGTCATACCTGGCCCAGTAGACAGTCTGCTTAACAGCTTAAGCCAAAATTCCTCCAAAGAAGTTTCGAAGGATGGCTTTGAGAGTGTCGTTGGTGAACTGTGTGGCAGGATCCATCTCAGGCCAACGGTTTTTACTCGAGTATTCCGAACTGAGGAACGCTGCAATTTCAACGAAAGTTCAGAGATTCTGCTTCCGTTTCTCCTGCTCCACTCGTTACTATCACTAGTTCATCCTCTAAGCCCCGCAAGTGAGCTCCTGGCCGCTTCAATCTCCCCCAGCTCGATGCGGAAGCCACGGAACTTCACCTCACTGCCCAATCACTCACTCAAACTTTAGCCTGGAAAAGGCCTGCTCGTCTTTGCGGCCCAGGAATTCCAAGCCAGCTCCTCCAAGGCAGACCCGAAAATGCCCTGCAAGAATCCTTCAGATGAGAGCTGGCCTCGGTCCGGCAGAACCCGCACGAGGTCCCCCGTTCGATAGACCTCAGAATCGGAATCACCAAACGGCCAGATGCCGGTGATTTGCATCCAACGCAGGAAACTTCTGCGCTTCTGGACAAGGGGCTGTTCCGCGGCTGTCTTCCAGGAAACTTGCAGCAGTTAGTTGCGGCCGCTGGTGGTAGCCCAACGCCACACCGACCCCTGAGACCTCGCTGGGAGAATAAAGGCACGGTGGCGGGGCATCGCAGACTTGCGGCCGCGCTACGAGCAGCTCGCCAGTCACTTCGGGGGCATTGGCCTCACTCTCGGTAAGCAGCCGCAGACACCCCTCCATGGCCCGCTTGAGAAGCACCTCCTCTTCCGAGATCGTCAAGGTGACGTTGGGAAGCGGCAGGCCAATCGGGATGGATGCGCAGCTTTCGCATTGGCCTTAGGTGCTCCATTTTTCCAGTTCTGCAGATTGGGTCCGCCGGTCCGCCATAAGCAGCCAGGCAACCAGGCTCTATCGGGTAAGTGGTGGTCCAGATCGTGGCTTCCTTGCAGGGCTGCAGTGCTGTCGTGGCCACAGAAGCACAAGCATCCACATATATCGCGGGATACTTCGGTCCGTCGGCCCGTAAGCATTCCAGACACCAGCGCCGGCAGCCCTGGACAGTGGGCTCACGAGGCTCTGCGGAAAAGCCTGCCAGCGGAGAGACGAGGGATAAGCACACAAGTCATGTAAGACACACCTCTCCGCCACAGATGCCAGCCAGACCTGCAGCAAAGCAGGGTGGGACAGCGCGCTCGGCGGAAACTTGAGGGATACATTAACCGTATTAACCGCTGCCTGCATGGCCCCGCCAGCCGGCTGCCACCAAAGATCGCCACAAGGCAGGTGTGCCTTGCAACACGTCTGCCTCCTGTCCAGTGCTTGGCTTTGCTGAGGTGAACTGCCCTCTTTGCAATCCAGTACATGGTGTGTGTTTCTGTGTGTGTCACATCAACTGGTACCTCGTGCTGCTGGATCAGCTGAGAAAGCTTCATTCCATTCCGTGCTGTACTGGCCTAAGCACAGCTTCGATTTGTCATGCAAGCATCAATGGGAGTGCACACCGGCACACAGGCGTGCACGTTGCATCCGGGGCACGGAAACAATGAATACGGAAAACCCGAAACACAATGGCCAAAATATCTCCAGCACGGAGATGTCGAAGCCTTTGCCAAGATGGACAACTGCAAACTGACGAGATAAAGCGTCGTTTGCTTGCAGCAGGACTGGAACGAGGTTCGTGCAATATGTGGTCGGGGCCAGCAGCATTCGCCCAGCACACTTCGAGTCTGGCTTGTGGATCATCTCGTCAAACGTATGAAGCACGTTCCTTAATGCTTGGAAGTCGAAGCAGGGCTGAGCTGGATGATGCAACTCGCCCTGGCACAACTCTGCACCGCCATGGCTCACTACACCGCGGCGTGGCACCAGGACACCTAGCAGCATCGGGTGGGAAAGCGCGCGCAAGGCGCGAACGGACATCTAAGTCTGCTACCCTTTGGGGTTCCCGTGCTCCCAGAGGTGTACCTCAAAGCTGAGCAGCCAACGGGCTACACTGAGAAAGCCCTCTTTCAGCTCGGTGGCATCAAGTAGGCCGGACGTTCGAGGTCGCTCCCGACATCTCTTTGAGGGTCTTTGCTCTCGGGGACCGGGGCATTCATCAGTCGACCTTTGGCTTGTGGCGATTGCGATGGCAAGCAAAAGCCATGTAGCCACAAATGTACAGACCGAAGAACGTACCGAAGACTGAAACAGGAAGACTTTGCCGCCATGGCACCGTCCATCGCTGTTATTCTGACCAACCGATCCTCCGGAAGGAGACCACGGCGACGAGCGCACCAACAAGTCACCAGGTAGCGAGCTTTGGAGTCATCCAAGAGGAAGCGCAGTCGAGCGCCGGGATGCGTGGGCTCGAGCGGCAGGTATGCGGCACCCGCGGCGAGGATGGCCAGCAGAGCAACAACCATTGCGGGCGTACCTTGGGAGCAGCGAAGGAAATAGCAGCGCCTTTCACAACTAACTAGAACTGGCGAAGCCGTGCAAAACATTCCCATGTTCGACAAGTGCGCGTTGCAGACACACTGCCACGATACCATTATCCAGGTCAGCCTCATGGGGCTTTCGGCGCAGACGCCGCAGCTCTTGCTCCAAGGTCCAGGTTCGGGCTGTCAGCTCGTCAAAAGTCAACATCGTCCGATGTCGACTCAGCTGGTCCTGCAGTCTGTTGACATCTCCTGACCCTTCTCCCCTGCTCGTTTCCAGGCAGCAGCCGAGTCCTCCGCGTCCAAGTCCGTAGCGTCAGGCACTGCATCCGCTTCACATTGCACGGCTACAGCTGTCTTGGCGCGTGCCGCGGCTTCTGCGACCAACTCAGGCACATCCCGCCCATCGCAGCATCTCGTGGGCCCGGAGAGACTCCACGCCATCGAGGATAGAGCAGTGCGATTGGCATCTGTCAGGTTCTAGTTTGTCTTCGAAAAAGTCTGTACATTACTTGTACCGCTTCCAAGTTTCGAGGGAGGAGTGCAGGAACACTAGGGACTGTTGCTGCATGCTGCGTCGCGGTCTTACTCCCTGGATTTCCTGAAAGGCCCTGACAGCTAGACGGGTCCAGGGTTTCGGGTGTCTACAGGTCATCTATTGATCGAAGGTAAATCAACAAATCGAGGCTACAACTACAACTGTGCTCCAGAAAGGGCTTTCAGAAAAAGTAGAAAGGATATGTATAGATCTTGAGGAACTATTTCCCAACATGTTTTACAGTCTTCTGGAGATCTCAACGACAAGAAAGATTTTGAAAAACAACAAAGACATGTAAGACATATTCCGCGAGTTTTGCAGAAACACTAAGCAAATCATGGTTTGAACCGTGTGTTCCAGCAAGCATGCCGCAGATCCATACAAAATCCTTATCGGACACGCCTTCGCAAGACCTAAAGACCACTGCAACCCTCAAGCCCTCATGCTTGAGCAGCAGCCAGTCTTGGTGTGTTCCCATCTCATGACCGGAACCAGTTGGGCATGCCATCTTACCATGCTAACAAGGAACTCAACACTACACAACACAGCGCTATTCTGGCTCTTCTCGCCATGTGCCGTTCGGCAGGCTGGGGCCAAACACGAAGCGATCATGAACAGGCATGTGTGGCATGGTGAAGCCATTGCTGTCCAACTCGTATTTTCCCGAGCTTCTTTAAGATTGTCCTGAACCCACGACACGAACTGACGAATAGACCTGGCTTGAAGCTGCAGTCGCATTGAGATTTTCAGACATGCGCATGTCGTAGAGGACTTTTCACGATTGCCCTCACCCCTTCACATTCTTCGCGGCAGGTGTGAAGACGAGTTTCTGCGCCTCCGAGGGGCTTGCCACCTGGGCCATTGATCTGAATGCTTCTTTTCCCTCTGTTCTCTCGCTAGCTCTCATCTCGAGCACCGCCGCCTTACCGTGAACTGAACAAGAACGCATCTCCTGCCGAGATGCTGAAGTTTGCAGAGCAGACTGCTTGCTGCGCAGTGTGCTGAGAACTGCGGCCTCCGCTGGCGAAAGGGCAGCGACGAGGCCTGCTTGGTCCTTGATGTCGGACGCGTTCCACGAGCCAGCAGCATACCCCACCCTTTGCATATATGCTCTGCAGTTGTCGTTGTTCTCAATCTCAGTCAACTCATCAGTGGACAGGTCAGCAACCCACGACGGAGGCAGTAATTCGTCGGTTGCTCTCTGTCCATCCTTTCCGAGCGCCCGAAATGCCTGCATGTCCTCGTTCACGAGTCTGGCAACCTCACCACCAAACCTGGATGTGTCCAGGGTCCATCTTTCATAAACACTGATCAGCAAGCGTCGACCGACAGCCAGGGAAAGCTCTGGCAATGTCAACGCTTGCAGCGCAAGCAGCTCACAAATCAGGGGAATGGAGTGAATGGCCCATCCGCTGAATGGCTTCGTCGACGCCCATACTCCTCTTGGGTCCCGCAGCAACACGATGAATCGGGAGTTGGCCAAATACTCAGCCGGTACAGCTCTCACCAACGCTCCATGATCTACGATGCGGGTTGTCTTGACAACCAAGTATGGTGCAGTGTCTGGGGTTTTGTCCAACTTTTCACAATAGCTCTGTAGATTCGAATAAGAATCGCGATTGACGACGTTGCCGGTGCAGTTGTGGCAATCGTACAGGCACTGCAAAACCGAATCTGTTTGCCACGCTGGCATTGTAACAATCCCTTCGCCCTCAACGACTCCACCCAATGGTTCAAAGATTGTTGGATGAGAGCCATTTCCAGCAACCAAATCCAGAACAAAGCACGATGCCTCACGGCCCATTGACAGGATATGTACCACATCTATTGCCTCCTGTCGCCTCGCCACCTTTGCCCGTAGCTGCACAAGCATGTTGCTGCTACAGGCAGTTGTTTCGCAATCTGCTTCAATGGTGGCGAGGATGAGCACATACTGAGCGAAGACAAGTGACAGCCACGCCGGTGCCATCGGTACAACTAAGAGTCCGCTACTGGTAAACAAGGAAAGTCGTGACCTCACACGGCTAGCGCCGCGGATCTGAACCAAAAACACGTGGCAGTAACCTAGTGAAAATCCTGGCCCACTTCTTATGCTACATCCCAACACCCAGCGGCAAGGGCTCGCAAAAACAACATCATCCTTGCTGAGGCCCAATCCAGCAAGCAGGATTTCCGCCTGGCAAAAGACACTCACGGAATGGAGGACTGGAAACCTGATTCATTATCCGACACGACTTATTCGACAGAGCCCCTCGGAGTCATGCAAGTAGTTGCCGGACGAGGGATACCCCAAAACCACGTGCAAGCAAATCATGGGTAGGCACGAGGCAGACACTCATAAGAGTTGTCTAGGTCTAGACGAGCACAGGCAAAACGCATCGATGCTGTCGCCATGTGTATTCGCACTGAGGCATTTTTGAGGTAGGGACTCCGGACGAGCCTTCGACCACAGGGGCTCGTTCTGCAATCGCCTCAGAAAGGTGTCCTCATGAAAAGAGAACAAATCGCCGGCACCGAGCTCCGAGTCCAAAGGCGCCAACATCGAGAGCTTTGGGGCTTGGCGCTTGAACCTGCAAGCCGATGACCCTCTTGTTGCCAAGCCTAGGCAGTGGCAGCGCCTCGTTGTAGAGGAGTCGCACAGAGTAGGTCCTGCCCAAAATGCAAGGGTTGCACAGTAGACACCATTCTTCCTACCAAGCATGCCGTCGACATCGACGCACAAAAATGGGCTTGGCTCCTTCTTTCCAATCCCGTCCAGTCTATGTGCAGATCCTGTCTCCGCACGCTTGCTTGCAGGCAGCAGGGACGGTGTCAGAAGTTCCTTTCGAGTGGCCGATGTCAGCGGATCCAGGCCGGGTCTCTTCACCTTGAACTTTGCATCAGGACGGAGATTGGACATATGTCCGGTTATGTCCGGTTAAGCCAAGCTGCAAAGAGTTCCACAGCATCCGGCAGGCCTTCCGAACTGCGGACCCATGCCACCTCTCGCAGCTCTCATGCATCCGGAAGCACATGCTGAACATGCCTGGGAGAATAATGAGCTTACCTCATCACCCCCAATCATGTCCTCGCAATGCGGCACTCTTTTCTTGCCAGCTTGCTCAACTGAGACAGCATGTCATCGGCCTCTAGCCTGTCACATGGTTTTGAGCTGCAAACTCGAAGTCACGATGGGCACTATGACACTGTGAGCACTACGGTTGATGATATAACTCCTGCATTAGCCATGATAAGGAATATGCCATAATTCCCATAGTTTAGGGCACTTAAGGTAATGCAGGATTTATACCATCAACAGTATTATCGCAGCATGAGGACCTTGTCCATCTCAGCCTCGAGTCCTTGAGAAAGACAATTGAAGGACAGCTTCAGTTCCTTTAGCTTCTTGTTCTGAAGCACTGCCTCCAAGAGAGCCTTTCCTCCGGCGTCATCAATGCGATTGCTCGTCAGCTCCACGACGATCACGTCAGACCGGGACAAAGATTCAGCCAGAGCTCTCGCACCCTCCGAGCCTATGCCGCAGCTATTCAAGGACAACCGCGCGATCGGCGTTCTTTTCTCAAGTAGTGTCGCGATATGAGCGGCTCCAGCGTCCCCAATCGGTGACATTGAAACGTTCAGATGCGTCACGCTCGTATTCTTTTCCAGGCACGTGCAAACGTATTCTATTTCTTCGGGGCCGAAGGCCACTCCTTCTGCTCCATCCAGCAAGCCGGGGGATGGAAGCATCAGGGTGTCTAAGGACTCATCATCCTCGGCAATGAGTGGCAGTATGTCCTCGATGGGGCCCATGGGAACCTTGGGCGGCCATTGCCTTGGCGCCACTTTGGGCTTTGCCAGGCTCTTCACGATCCTCCCTGCCTTCGGCGCCATGGCACTGTTTTCGATTCGCAGCAGTGTCCTCATGCAGTCCTTCTTCATTTTGTTAACCCGGCTCGTTGGACCCCTCCTGCCTGGTACTACAGCACTGGGTACTGTAAGGACTTTTACTTGGCATCCTTCGCGTGCTGAGCCGCTGAGTCCAGAGGAACAGAGCAAGCAAATACGGAGTCGCCTCTGCAAATCGCGGCGCCTGCGCCAGGCTCGAGTCGTCGTATGGCAACGGCTCCGAACCTTGACATGCACTAAGTGCCGCATTCATGCCGACCCTTGCCCCGTAGGCAACCATCGCCACCTCCGCGGGAAGACCACCCCAGGCAGTCTGCGTAGCCCAGCCTTCAACGAACACAGTCCGAACGACGGGAATCACAGGAGTTCACGATGCACGCGGAAAACGACAGATGCAGAAGCTGCCGTTTCGACCTCGCAGAACGGTTTAGCGCCTGGGCATGAGTTTATCCAAAGCTGTGGCGACTCCTTCTGGTTCCACGTCCGCGCAGAACCGTTAGCCGCAGGATCTGCCTGGTTCTGGGCCTCGTTCCACCCGAGCTGCAGGAGTTGAGCTCCGACAACGAAGCCCCCATGTCCATGACGAAGTACTCCGGGTTTCTTTGGAGCCCTGCACGAAGCTCTCCGACCGCCCTGGGCGCCCTTGAAGGAGGCACCACCACAGAGCAGACCGAAAGGAGATGCAAGCACATTGAGCAATCAACGTTCCGGAAGCACGCTAGAACTTGATCTGCCGGGCACCTTCGAAACAGCACCATCTGCGAGCCGCTGCTAGAAAAGAGTGTGCAAGGCACAGCCAAAGCTCAACCTGCTCGCAGTTCCTGCCGATCTACCTCACCATGCTCTCTATTCGGCATGTTGCCCTGCCAACTTGCCGTCTCCTGAAGCTCCACTGCCGTTCTGGTGGCGTCCATCTCCGAGTCCAGTCTGTGAGTTTCTGATGCTGCAGTTGGCGTGGAGGGTACACCTTGCTTCAAGGTCAAGCAAAGCCAAATACTGCTAGACAGCAAGACCAACAGCAACGCTGTGTTGACAATGATGATGGTATGTCCCAGGCTATGTCGGGCTCGCCAGATCGCCGTCAGTGTCGCAAAGTTCGCCCAAGGGACCAAGGCACGATAGCCAGAAGGAGAATAGACTGACCCGTGAAGCGGAGCGGGCTGACACCAGATATATGTGGGCTTCTCAAGCCGCATATTGCTCAAGATTTGGACCGGCCCAGACGAATCTTCGGCGCTTACCAGGCTGGTGCCAACAATATGCTCCAAGTGTGGCCACGCGGCGGTAACCTTGCGACCGTTCAATTGGAGCTCACTGCCTGCAGCCAGGCACCGCAGCTTGGCGGCTGTCTCCACATGCCTCTCAGGGAGCAGTGGCGCTGGAGCAACCCAGATTTGCAACACCCGTCTGCCTGGCGATCTCGTTGGCCATGAATGCGTAAATCAGCGCCGGGATGCTCAAAATTGTGAAATCCTGCCCGCCCGCCCCCCCTTGCAGCACAATGAAGCACACAGGCCCTGCAAAACCCGCAGGCGCTAGGACACTAGCATTGGGCTAGCGGCCGACTATGACCAGCCTGCGTTGAGAATGACACTAGAGACCACTTTATCGGAAATGGAAATTGCAACCTCCAACCCGACAAGGGAGATCCTCGGCTGAGTCCAGGTGCTGCTTGGCCAAGTCGGGAAAGGAAAGATACATAGCATTAACTGCCTTTGCGCAGGGTAGAGGTGGATTGTTCCAGCTTGCTTGTGCCTTCAATGGTAGTTAGCCCCAGGATTGAGAGTTGCGGCCCAACGACGAAAAAAAACGGCGGAAGGATAGTTGCACAGGCCACCGCCCTGGACGAGATCATCGGCAAGTCGAATATGCCCCTCGCGCGCATCTTAGATGCTGAGAGCAAGGTCATGACGATGATCGAAATCGCACAGGTGCCAAGCACCTTCAGTCCTCAGAACACGCTGGAATCGGGCAGTGCGTTGCCCCCGCACCTTGAAGCGTCTCGCTTATTCGGAGGATACTGATACTGATTGCTGAAAGATGCATTCATTGGTGATTGCTTCGAGTGCGCGCACATGCTTGTCGTGGACTCGGCCCGGGAGACACACTTGGTCACGTGGTGATTGGTTGCAGGCATGTTTAACAACTTGGAGTCGACAACTCGGCGCCACTCATGCATCGTTAAGGACTTCGTTGTGCAACACGTGTCCAGGGCATGTTCCTCCCTGTGCCCCCCAGCGCTTCCATTGTGTTCCTCGACTCGAGCATTTGAATCTTTTGAACCATGCTCACGGCAAAACAACCCTTCTACGTCTCCTCTTCTCCTCTAAGTTCTCCCAGGGTTCAAACGTACTGGTAATTGGCTCCGCGAGGGGGACCCGTGCACATCCTTTGTGGTGCCGAGGTGCTTCCCGTCCAGTCGGGGATCCCGGCGACCCGATGACTGCCTCGGGTGCTGGCTGTTGGTTTTATGTACAAGACTACACGCTGCCTCCCATTTGCATCCAGGTCTCCCGCATCTCCTGCCTCCTTACCTATGATTACTTGTTGTGCCATGGTGCAGAAACAGCCGTTGTAGCTGGGTAAGTCATAGGTACAGGTGCCGTTGAGCCGAGATGTGCACCAGGATGGGCACAAGACAGGCTCTGAGCAAATCCAAACGGGTATCACCTTGCAGGGCGGTGTCGGTCAGGCTCGCGCACATGTGCTCATGCATCACAGCAGGTTCCAGATGCATGTTCTGCATGAAGACGTAACACCAGATGGCTGGCTAGTTAGGCAGGAAGGTAGGCAGTTAGGCTCGCAGCGAGGTGCGCAGGCAGGCAAGTAGGGTGGTGGGTGGTCGGTTGGGTTGGCTGGTTGGCTGCTTGGCTGCTTGGCTGCTTGGGCTGGTCAGGTCGATAGATAGGTGGTAGGGCGGTATGTAAGGAGGAGCGTAGGCAGGTTGACCCAGGTCGGTGGTCGCGGTGCCGGTGGATGGGTCGGTAGGTTGGGTCGGTGGGTCGGTGGGTCGGTGGGGTGGCTGGCTGGGTGCACGATTGAACTTGCGTGCAGCAAGCCCATTCCCTGCTCCGTTTCCAACACCCGACAGATAAGGGGAGCTCCGACAGGGACCCATCAAGCCAGGAGGTGTCCATCTGAGTCGTGACGCCCACGGGCAGTTGAAGAACCTTGGGCTTGTCACATCGGAATGATTCGAGCGCGCCTCAGACAAGGTTGCCATGGAGGGTTTCAGGCTGCTGGCGAGGCACGCGCAGCTTCATGAATACCAGCAGGCACTTGGAAAGCGTGCTCATACGCAGGTTTCGGTCGCCCAGCTCGGGCAGCTTCATTCGACACCGGTCCAGGAGGAGCGCAAGGCAATTAATCATCGTGGTGCCCTGCACAATGCGTCGCATGCAGCATAGCACTGCAAAAGCGACCACATGCTTTACAGTAACACTTCCAATCGAAAGCCAAGACACGGCTCCGATGAACAGAATCAGCGCAAAGTACGGACGCTGCGAAGTCGACTGTGGCTCTCGTAACCGATCATAGAAAGTGTGAGTGTCCTGAGCACATGTACATAGATGTACCATGTGCACGGACAGGCATTTAGTACTGCCGCATTACACGTCGATGCCTTCCCCGATCTCAACCCGGGCGTTTAAAGGCAATGGGGTTTCAGAACAGCGCGGGATGTTCAAAGTCATTCTTCGATGCTGAGAGTGAAGAGCATGGGACTGCAAAATCGCCAGTACAAACAAGCTCCACAGAGATGTAGCTGAGAAAAGGCTCAGGGCGGCCAAAGGCTCCGGCTGATGGCCTTCACACGACAGATTCAACAAACTGGTGTGCAAGTGTATATGACTAGAATCGACTCCAGAGATGACGGAGCGAGATCAAGCATCGGGTAAAAGCCTATGTCAGTGTAACCGGAGTGACGGTTCCCTGAATTAGCTCCTGTCGCCAAGCTGCGTAAAGCGAACTGAAGCACAGCAACCAATGCTTGTGTACCCAGGTCTTTACTGACGCAGACAGTCGTAGGAGCAGCTGCCGACAGCAGCAGCTGGCCGGGATTCGAGACGGAATGACACGCTCATCGCTTGCCCAGGAGGTCGCATGCCTTGCGACCGACTTTTCCGCTCTAACTCGCGCTTGGCTGCTTTCGCGGCGCCAAAACTCTCAGCCCGGGGCGAGACGATCGCTTCCGTCTGGTCGCAGGCACGTGCGGCTAGCGCCACCCCGGCCTCGAATTGGAGGGCTTTCAAGGCACGGAAACCATGCTCTCTCTGTGCGATTCTGCTTCAGCACAGCTGAAACCATTTGCAAGCGAAGTTGCAAAAGATACTGAACAAGCGAAAACCAAGAGGTACAAGGGCAGAGATCCGGAAGACGCATCGGAAAGCCCGAATATGGTCCTCAGCTGCCCCAGACAAATTTTGCACAAGCAGAACACGCCAGCAGAACCACGTCGGAGGCATGAAGTTCCAGCTGCTTCATTTGCTTGTCAAGGAGCATTACTTGATGCCCCTCATGCTGCGCCAGAGTCAACGTGGCCACGCCGGCAGCTGTCCTCAGCAATGCTGGCATCGGTGTGAGTGTAACCTGAACTGTGCACACATTCCCCGACCAAACTTGCATATAACAAAACCTACTAGAACTCGTTTGTGTTATCTGATGGACAACCATCCGTGAATCCATACAGCATACACACACACATACATCCATCCACAAGTGTATGAAAGCACTGTGCTACAATGGTGCCGAGCATGGCTGGGCTTTTCCGCTGGTGCAATCCGTGTGCCTCAAAAAGGTCCTTGTGCCGGACATCACCGATCATATGCGTTGAGTTTCCCAAGCATCCACGTGTAGCGCAGTGCCACTGCCACTAAAAAATTATCCGGAACTCCTTTCATCCAAGAAGGGACCAATGCAGAGGAAATCGCCTGATTGAGGGTCGGCCTCGGTCACACAGGTCCGCCTCAGGCGCTCCAGGTCCAGTCCCAGGCACCTTTTGTTTTGTTGTGGCAGACAACCACCATGCAGGCCAACGCAAAAGCCAAGGTGCGCTCTCCAAGCCAAGCCCGGTCGGGGATGCACGTTGCCCCGGTCCGACTCTCAATGTGATGACCTTGTCCTGCCAGGCCAACACCACGTCGACAAACCGGCTCGTTGCCTTCAAGTCCTTGATGACGGGTTGGTAATCCGGCACTGCGGGTCGGACACGCGATCGGCAAATCAGGCCGCATCATCTTAAACCAACCAGGACATTCCCAACTGCTGTCCTGTTCTCCTCCATCGGCTGTCGTGAGGTGCCCCCACTGGTGCCCCCCTGTCCAATATAACTTCCTTGTCGACCCGGCCCTGCCAGTAGACATGCTGCTTGATCACAATGTCCTCGGCTGTGAAATTGTACTCGCACCCGACATGGTCGACGGAAGCATCTTCCCGTGGAAAGGTGTGTGCAAGCGCTCTTCCACGCGTAAGAGCAAGTCGTCCACGCAATCCACGCACGTCAGGTCAAGGCACCTGACCTTGCCCCTGGGTACGCCTTCATGACTTCCGCCACTTTCCCGGATGCACCAAAGAGATTCCTGGCGAAGTTGTCCTTGTATACATGGTGCGCCATCAAAACCTTCGATTGGTCCACTTCTTTTTCGATGCGGCAGCTCTCTCTCCTCTAGGCAAGGGGCCGGATGGCGCCCGTCCACATGCTCTTTCTCCTGCTTATGCTCCGCCGGGACCCCAAGGCAGCTTTCTTTTCCAGCTGTTTCGTCTTGACCCTTTCGGATCGTGTCCGGGCCACCATGTGCTCCTGCTTTTTTCTTGCACGCAATCAGCCCAATCCAGGACAACTGAGAGACAAAGTCAAAGTCTCTTGAAACAAACAAAGCAGAGAGCAATGAAAGAAATCCAGAGGCTGCTACAAGTATCGTCCGCGCAGGCGGCCAGCCGGTGTCGGCCCGGGGACTGGAGCCTCGCCCCAGCCGTCCTCGATGTCCGGGAAAAGGACCTTTCGTCACTACATTGAGGATCTCATCCACTTCATCGCATGTTGCACAGCCGGTAAACCAAAAGAGCCGGCTTCGACCGAAAGTCCTTCAGGTCAAAGCTTGTGAGTCCCGGCTCGGTGCAAGGTATCCGAAGCACAAAACGCGGCAGTGGCTTTCAATCTGTGGCGGCGCGCTTCCGGGCAAACTGGTGGCTAGGTTCTGGATCTCATCCTTTTAAGCCACGGCCGCGGGCCACCGCCGTCCCGTGGCTGGGTGCCGCTGGAGGCACGACGCATCGGTGGTGTCCCTGTTCTTCTGGTCGTCGGGCTCGGTGTCTGTCTGGTCTGGCAACGGGGCTCTGCATCAGTGTCGTTGTACAGGTCGTGGTCATTAGGCTTGGCAAACGGGTCCTCGGAGATCTCCGCTTGGACATCGCTGCTTGTCGCGGCGGCCCGGCGTCGGTTCTCGAAGGGAGGTCGGCTGCCATGGAGCGACACACGAAGTATCGAGGAAGCGGGCTGTGTGTGGTTTGCGCACCTCACTGTCCGCTGGCTCAAGCACGGCAAATGCCCAAGCTTCGCGCCAATGCACGTTTGAACTGGACGGTAAAAACAAGTGTTTACGAGGAACCATCTGGTTTCAGATCATCTCTTCAAAAGATTTCACACAGAAGCCCCCTAGACTGTTCCATCGCTGCTGCTTCTGGAGTGTCTGTGTGGGCTCCGCACGCTGGTGAGCTCCACCCTCAGTGAGCTCATTCACTGCAGTAGCAACAGCTGCCTGGCTCAGCACACTGTCGACGGGCCGTCTCTTTGGCCACGAGGCAAGGGAAGACATCGCTCCGCTACCCATGTGACAGTGAGCCTCTAGAATCAGGGCTGTGCTCCTCTAAATTACCTGTTTGAAAACATCGGTCATACGCATGAACTTCCCATGCACACACACCTGTAGCACATCGACAGCACCTGCTAACACGTCTCCTCGAAAGATCTCCCTAAGGTGGCAATCCCCTCCCACTTGGTTTTTGCAGTCCGACGCCGAGCTGCGCATGAATGCAAGTCGCACCCATGTTGAGTACGCGTACACCGGCAGTGTCAGCAGTGGCTGCCGACATCTCATCAACTGAGACGTAGCTCGTCTGGAGGAACATGTGAATTTCGTTGGCCTGGACCAACAGAAGCGCACACACCATGCACACCTCAGTGCCTGCTCTGTGGTGCCATGTCATGGAGGTCCCGTGCAGCGCTCAACTACACCTGGTCGGGGTGCAAACCGGGCCAGTTTGCCCGAGTGTTTCAGACTTGTCACACTAAAGTTTGGCACGAGACACGAGGGCGCAGTTGCCACTCATCACAGCCACGCTCGCCAAAGGGATTGCCTCAAACGCAAGCCAAAACCTCCAAATCATGGCATGAAACTGCATGGAAGAACAAGCCCAAACTCCTTGAGGAGGCATTTTCGGAGAAGCTCAGACCAAAGCTAGACGGTGATGCACTGACGTCAGCCCAGCAGCATGAACGAGCAGAAATGCAGGTGGAAAGAAAAAGCAGGAGCAGCCGGCCAGGATGTTCGCTGTGGCAAGGCAGCGGAGGCTGAGGCAAGCCCAATGCTGAGCTGTGAGCTCACCTGCAAGAAGAAAAGCGTTTTGACTTGCAGCCTATGCCTCCGCCATCTCGCGATCACTCGCCCAACCACGGAGATCGTATCATATCACGGTTCAGAATGTTACAAAGGCTCCCTGTGCTTGTGATCGCCGAGACTCCAGACGGGTCTGCATGCAAGACCGGTTGAGGCTGGAATGTGAACACGACTGCCAGCCTCTTTTGCGTCACTGGCCATGCACGAGGATCCAACACTTTCGTCTTCTTGTCACAAATAGATTTTGAAATCATCTGAAATCCTTCTGCGGAAACAAGCCGAGCTACATGGACCCTGCCACTACCCAGTGTTGATGGGCCGTGGCAAGCCAAACCGCGATGGGCAGGTGTGTGCTGGCAGCATAAGCCCACACCCATCGACGCACCCGCACATCACGGAGAGCCATGTGCCGCGGTTCTCGCTGAGAAGCATGTGCAGATGTCCAGGTCAACATCGATTGCAGCGTAGCAGCCCTGTGCAAACAAGCTGCACTCGCCATTCCAAAAGATGTCAACCGGTTTGTAGCGGCTTTACTGGCAGAGTTTGCCCCTACTTCTGGAACTTTAGTGCTACATTGGGTGCCCTGTCAAGCAATGACTCCTCGAGGTGGATGTGGAGCATCAATCATTGTTTTCATCAGCCTTGCCTGGATCTCGCCTTGGCCAAAACTTCTCCCATGTTGATGTACCGGGACGCGCAGAGATAAAGCTGTCCAGCCAGTGGGGATAGCACTGCACCGATTAGGATGAAAGTCAATGCGACCGGAATCCATGTCTTCAGGAGGATTGGAAGCCGGGCATAGGTGCAGCTTGCTGACCCCTCGTCTGAAGTCCACCCATTGGGGCATGGATGGCAAACGTACTGACCGCTTTTGGAAAACAGTCCAGGGCTGCACAGTGACCGTGCGTCGCCTGCTCGGTAAAGATCCTGACCCGAGACGCCCACAGAATTGGCTGCACAAACCATGGCTGGCAAGCTGCTTTCCGCCAAGGGACTAAGCCGACGAGAACTGTTCGATCATCGATGACAGCTAGACCTCGACTAGAAGTGTCTGTTCTCTGAGTTTCCGAAGTAAAACGAAATAAGTTCAAGGTGACCAGGGATGACAGCTCATCTGGTGCCGATTGCTTGGCGAGCGGCTGCTCGAAGGCACAGCAGGATTCACAGCCCTAACACTGAGCACCGCCAGCTCGCGGAATTTCATGTGGTCCATGGCGAATACATGCAGTGTGCTGGCTTCCTCAGAGGCCAGCAAACAGCAAGCGCAATTGCCACAGTTGGAGCCAGACTTCAACTGACTTGCCTGAACATCCAGTATAGGCCAAGGGACAGTTGCTGCCTGAGAAGCTCTGACTTTCAAGTCACGCACTCCATAGGATTGCAGACACTTCTCTCCAATTACCATGCCACTCACATGGCGTCCAGAATCTTTTTTGTACTTGCACAGCTGCTGAGCCGCCGACGACCAGCACGCCGTCCGCTGCGAGAAGGGCGTGAACCGGCCCCGCAGTGTCCATGATCTCGAGCAAGTTCCAGCCGCGCTTTCGGCGGGTCAGCACTGGGATCACCTTGGGTTTGGTGGAGGGCGTGCTCCGTTGTGCTTGAGTATGGATAGAGAGCAGACGGCAACTGAGGATGTCTCCAATGACGAGGAAAGACCAGCCGCCACCACCGAATCCGAAAGAACAGCCAGTGAACATATCTCACCTGGCACATGCATCGCACCCCCTCCCTTCGCCAATTCAGCCATGCAGCAAGCTTGTCCGCGCCTGGCATCCGGATTCTTCTGAACCCTGTGTCTCCATAGAACTGGAGGTCCATCACCAACAGGTCGTCGCTCGCCCCAGCCCACAGAAACTTTGTCGATGAAGCCAGGGCGGTAACTGCACCTTGCCATCTGTCCTCCCTTCCCTCTCCACTCTATCTTGCCCTCTGCTTGCGTTCATTTCCAAAACCACCCAACCTCGGGATCTCAGCATGGATTCAGCCTCCAAATACGGTGGTGGCGATCGACGCAAGCTCGAGAGGTTGAAGAAGTACACATCGCTCGGCCACGCGCCAATGGCAAGCAAATCGAGTGCCGGCAGCAGCTCGGCTGAGGTCGCTCCGGTGAGTGAGGGATACACATCCAGTTTCAAGCGCGTGAGGGGAAACCAAGGTCCGGATGAATACCGCGGCTGTGTGCCGGAGGAGGTGGAGAACACGGCGACAGCACCTGGTCTCGGACTCCAAACCCTGAGCTCTTTCGTTTTGCTGCGTGCTACAGACAATGTGTCACCGCTGAGGAAACGAGCGCCGAGTGGCCTTCCCACTGGCCCACCAACACCGTGTCATTCGAGATTGAATGGACAAAGCTTACTGGTCTTGGCACAGACAACTCGTCGACCGGTTCCCCCGCCGATGACATACCTGCATCACGCTCGGATGGAATGCATGCCTAGGGCACTTTTGCAAACATGCTTCCCCTGCCAATGCCAACGTCGTAGCCATGCCGACCTGCATGACTGAAGATGAAGACGTGCTTCATTGATGCCACGACCAAGCCTTCAGCCAACCCGCGATCAGTGACACACACAAGGCACTAGATGTCAAGGTTTGCACAGGTCTTCGGTCCAAGCTGTAAGTTTCGGCCTCTCCCAGGCAAGTTTGCAATGCTGATCCCCGGCGTGTCCAGAGGGAGAGCTCTCGAAGGCCGCTTTCCAAAGTAAGCATGATCCTGCAAGACCTGCACGTGTTCCCCCGGAATTCAAGGCACGATTAGCGGAAAGAACCCGGGCTCGTGCCTTCTCGTCGAAGATATCTACCGTGTTGGATGAAGTGACGACTGCAAGCCCATTGTCATCCAAGACAAGTATGGGACTGGGCACGCCGTTTGTGTACAGCTCCTTCCGCGGCCGAACACCTCCAGTCGGAAGCTTGTGTAACATGCAGTTGCGTATCCGCGCGACACAAGACAAGCGGCCCAAGAAAGCAATGATTGCAAGTGCATGCTGTATGGAGACCAGCCTCCTTTCACAACTTCGCTCATCCTCGGCAGCAAACGTTTCGACCAGTTGGGAACCGCAGAAGTTGCAGGCGCTAGGCCGACGGCAGGAACACCTCAATCCTGGCATCTAGACAGCCTTGGTGGGGCATGAGGATCAGTTGCTACAGCTTCGCAAGATGCCGATTCTTGCCGCACCTGCCGCAAAGCCACCCGGCAGCACCGCCAGCGACACATAAACCTGAGCTGCAGTTCCCGCCATGCTGTGTCCCGGTATTCTGCTGAGCTAGTAAAGCCAAAGCCCTTGCTAGTTTCTCGCCATAGTTTCACAGGCTCCGCAGATCAGATTATCTGAACAGACTGTGCGTGACTCCACTAGCAGGCGAGAGCAAATTAATCCCATTGGATACAAATGGGAAATGGGGGAACGAAAGCCTGTGTCAATGTGAGCGTGAGGAGCGCACGTGCTTCATTTAAACACGCACTTTCGTTCACCTCTTTTTCATCAATTGAAAAAATTTTCAATTAGAACTGAGGATTGAACAACGTTACCTCCGCCTGCCCTCTTTAGGGCATCCTCTTCTGAAAACCCCCAGGCGGTGAACAGGTCTCTGTTTATGGCACTGCTCACAAAACAACTCCTGACCCCGAATCTGGAACGAATGACTGCGCTGCACACCTAGGATAATCAGCACAGGCAGGTTGACCTGTCCGCCCGGGCAAATACAAGGCATTTCAAGCTTGGCCCGGAGAGCTGCACAGTATTCAAGCCTCTTCAATCGCAGTTTACACCAAAAGCACTGGCCACTGCCATCAGCATCATGAGTCCAGAAATGGGTAGGAGAGAGCAGCTGAGAATCCCTCCCCAACTCAGCCCGAGTAGCCTTCCTAGGCCCACAAGGTTTTCTCACAAGCTGCTGCTCGTTTTGCAAATGAAGCTTAGTGGCTTACCTATGCCACTGCCAGGGCTGTCGCGCTGGCACAAAATGCGAAACCCTTTTATGTTTTCTTGGATTGGTTTGATCGTAGGACGGAGGCTGTAGCCGAGTGGCTTCAGCCAGCTGGTTTCCAAACCACTGCAATAAGTTTTCAGTACCAAGCTGTTCCACAAACACTTCCTTAGTGAGGTGGCTTCTCAAAAGACTAAGCTCAAAAGAACCAAATAACTGAATTAAACACGATAAATCATGCACTAGTTTATATCCTATTGAGTTACATTTAATTAGTTTTGTCCCTTTGCCCACTTGACAGGATTTTATAGGTGTATTTCCAAGGCTTAGGCATTACCTAAAATATAAAGGAAATGAGCCCCAAAGCTCAAATCAATCTAATAAAACGCAAAGAAATGTAATGGAAGCGCGGTTGTACTATATTAATTTGGGCTTTTGTTGGGCTCATTTTGGGCCGTGTGTTCCCTTCGCTTTCTTTCTTTAGCCCGTTTCACATTCCTTTCTTTCAATTGAACAGGGCAACAGAAAAGAAGCAAAGCGAGTACGCGGTCAATTGTTCCTAGTTCCGTTCATTGCTTCATTTATTTTTCCTTGTTGTTGCATTTGAGGGGACGTAGTGCGTGAATTGAACGAAGCAAAAAGAGAAAAGGAAATACAATAATTCATTACGGTATATTTTCCTTACAGAATTTAAGTCTTTAGGAGATGTCTTTAGGAGATGCTTGCTGCCTTCAAGTCATAATATCTTTACAATTCTCAGTGTATTTCCAAGATATAGAACTTCCAAAAGGCCCGCGACTTTGATTTGTGAAGAAAACACGGGAAAAAAACTAAAAAGCGTGCAGTCTTTACCTCTTGATTTCATCTTCTGGGTCTTGCTGAGTGGCGGTGTGGACACGAAATAGATGGGCTGACGGTTGCCGGCGATTTTGCAGCACATCGTCAAGTGAGTAAATCTGAAGTCCATGTTCTCCGGCAACCACTGCACGGCCATCAACTATGACCTCCAACAGGGCAGAGACAGCTGGCAACGCGTGTCCGTGTCACTGAGAATGTTGCTATCCAGGGCGCCAGAGCATGGATGGCGGCTTGTAGGTTCAATTCGGCGAGTGGTTTCACAGAAACTCGTCGTTCAATCGCTGCTGTCTCGTAAAACAGTATTTCGCCATTGACCCCCGTCGATGCTGCCAGAATTTGCGTGCTCACCAAAACAAGCTCAGCAATGCCGTGCTTCGTCTCAATAGCAAAGCTCGAAGCGCCGCCTGTCATCAAATCGGAAGGCCCAAACACCTCGATGGTGCCATTCAACTCTGCCTGCTGCGAAAAAACGGTTCCTCCAAGAAGAGTTGCACCTGTCGGCAACCGAAGCATTGAGAGAATCTCTGCGCGAGTCTCCAGCTGGATGTCGTGGCGACTTGCCATGCCAAGGTGTGACGCTGAGAAAATGTAAACGATCCCAGAGGGATCATACGATGTCTGATAGGGCAAATAAGTTGCGACAGCGAGAGTCATGTTCTCCAACATGGTCACTGCGGTCACCCTTTGGTCGCCTACCTGGTGTACCAGCAGCATGATCCCATCTAACCTGCTCACCTTCCCGACCTTGCTCCTCACTCCACCGACAGCTACGGCTGGAAGCTTGAAACCAACTCTGCCCATCTCTGCCCAGCTGCCGACCACAAAGGCACCCGAGCAATTGCTCCAGAGCAGCTCTTGTTTGCATCATTCCAAAGCTGAACTCGATCGCCCAACATGCCCATCAGACCAGCTGGGCCTCGGGACCAAAAACTCAGAGCCTTGGATGCTCTAACTTTGGGGCCCAGGTCAGGCAAGACTCCCTTCTGTGCGGGCGCGTCGGAAGCAACAGTCCTCCGGGAAGCAGCGACGGGTTTTGAGAGGGTTTGTGAGTGAGGTCCTGCAGGGAAGCAGCGGCCAGGCACTGCCAGGAGCAGCAAAATGCTTGAAGGGTCCTGCGCACAGGTGCATAGCCCTTACGACGCCTTGCGACTTCTTCCGCTGTCTCTCAAAGCTCTCAGGTCCTGCAAAAGCTACTCCAAGCAGCACCAGGTGCAGCGGCAGTTGACATGCCAGGCTGGGCCTCATGTCCTGACTACATTAGTGACTACATGCTTGTACAGGTACTACACACACCCTCCCTGCATTGGGCCTGAGCCTCGCAGCGGCGAGCGTGTCAGAGTGATCCGAGCCAGCTCTCATTCCGGAAACATTAGACTTGTCACAGCTTGTGGGCCTCAGCGGCGGTTCCAGAACAGCTCGATAGGCTCCCGGCCTTGACACTTACAACCCCTCAGCCTTTACAATTGAGTCGGCTTTCTGTGGATACACTTCATCACAAGGAGCATAGAGACCACGACGACGGCAGTTGGTCTGTCACAGGGCGGTCGCTGGAAAATGTCGGCAATGCCTTGCAAGCAACGGCTTTAGCAACTGTGGCTGGAAGCCTCTGGAACCATCGAACAAATCACGAGCCATAGACATCTCCAAGACGAAACCTCCACAGGCATAGAACCCACCCCGGCATAGCAATGCTCCGCTGAAAGTCTCCAAACAACTGATGATGATGATGATGATAGCATGCATGATCTTCTAAGAGCCACGCCACTGCGTCGCTGAGCTTGAACTGCTCGGGATGGGATGGACAATTCGCCTACATCCACCACGCGGCAACCCTCAATCATCAACATCCCAATTTGAGTTGGGTCAACTCAGCACGAGCTATGTGGCCGAGAACATGCAGGCCATAGAAAGCGCACCATCCAAAGTCTCCATTTCGCAGTGGCGCCACATCTTCAGCATAGAACCTCGGGCGCTCAAAATCATTGCAAAGGGTGACGTGTTTCTGGGTTGTCCAACAAGCCGTTCGGGACCCATGCTCAATGGAAGTGAGGTCGACAGATGAATTGAAGCAAAGCTGGAGGTCCAGGAAAACCGTTTCCTGCAAGAACTTCCACCACATGTTTCACCTGCCGGCATCGGCACGGCAAATGGCAAGCATTGATGGCATGGTCCTCCGTTCTGCTTGCATCCGAGGTCCCGCGCCACCTGCACAGCCCCAGGGAAGTGACTTGGGAGGCGTCTTGCTCATGCAGCGCACCTCTCACGTGGACGAGGGGCATGGCCCTTTGCTAAGCCCAAAACAGGGCTGGTGACAGCCTGAAACAATCTCGCAAAACTGCAAGACTCGGATGGGCGACGCTGCACCGCCTCGGCCGAGAGCTGCTGGAGGGCTGCCACGGGCCCTGGCCAAGAGTCTCTTCACGTAGCTGGACAGCAATGCGAGAAGACATGGGTCTACGCATGTTCGGGAAGGCCTGCCGGCACTGAAGGGATCACGCCGAGGCATGCTGCAAGCCATGCTAGCATGAAGGTGCCCACGTTCGTGGGTCCGCGGCGCCATCGCCAGCGTTCCCAAGTCCAACGCCGTGGGCTACATCGGGCTACTTGTCCAATCACCAGCAGAGACAGAGACTCACCGCAAATGAAGGGTCCCACAAGTTGGTGAGTTCGGATGAATACCCACACTGCTGTCGCAGTGCCTCGTTGGCTTGACTTTTGAAGGACCTTCCTTCATGTGTTCGGGCCGAATGCTGCGCGAGTTGAGTCGCAGATTAAAAACATCCAGGACGCTTCGCGGAGCAGAGAAGCTATTACCATTTTGATCCACTCGGGAAAGCAACGACTGCGAGAGTATCCGAAAGGCTTCGAGCAGCTCCTCCGTCGTCTGTCCGGAAAGCGATTGTGACCTTCCCGCGACAAGGGGAAAGCTCTGGGCTCTGGGCTCTGGGGCAGCAAAGAACTCCGAAAGCTGTGAGGCTCCAGAGGCCGAGGAGCTGCGGGGCCTGGGCCGCCTGGGCGCGGAGGCCCGCTTGGCAGGGCCACTCCACCCCCAGCGAGGACATGGCTCTCATCATTGGCACCGGATGAGCCTCCCAAGGCCCAGCTAGGAGTGTGGGACGGGAGGCTTTCTTCAGGGCCTCCGTGCTGAGAACGAAGCGATCCAAAGGGAGGACGGAGTCTGGGGAGAAGAGCAGGAACAGGTACCTCAACATGGAACATGTTCCGCCTTTCAAGGAGAACTGGGCGCAGCGTTGTAAGGAGCATCGGGATTTCCAACTTAAGGATTTCTGAGATACGGGTTACGGCTTCCGGGGCTCCACATGGGGTGGAGGACGACGGGTTTAGGGATTTTATATCAAGCATCCTTCCTTTCAGATTAGGCCAATCTGGGGCAACTAGACTCCCGGCACCCGCAAGCTTTTACCTGGCGGTAAAGCTAGTGGTTGAGGGGTGGACCACTAACCACCAGGTAGAGTGACAGTGGCGGCTGCTGTCGTTGTTGCTGTTGCGGTTGCTACTGTCATTTTGTGCAAGTTGGGATATCGTCCACTGGGTAGTCACAGTTTAGGGCTTGTGGTTGTGGTTTTGGGGGTCATGTTGTAGCAGGCACTAAGGAGGTCAATGAGTCATTCACCCGTCGAGACCCGAACAACTGCACATAAGCGCAATCCAGCACGGGAGCGCCAAGCACGGGCGCTCAAACTAGAAATGGAGCAGCGGGTGGGAAAAACAATACTTATGCCCAGGCACTTCAGCGTTTCGGCTAAGAAGAAGGAGGGCATGTCATCCCGCTTGGATGATGGCTGGTTGACGTTGTGCAAACTTGCGAAGCCGAAGCTCGTCTTGAGGCGATAAAAAGCGGAAAGAAGCCTCTGTCCCCAGTTTCGATAAACCTGGAGCTTCGTCGTCCGCCACAGGACGAAAAGGCTCTCGACCTGCAGCGTCTCAAAAGGTGGATGTTTCCTTCCATGACAGCGTGCAGCGGAGACGCAGTCTCTGGTCTCAGGATGTTGTGCATGGAGCCGTGGTCATCCTGCTCAACTCCAGACTAGCTCCAGGTACGCGGCTGGATGCAAGCGGACAGGCAGCAAGCTCGCAACGCTTCTGGCACGGACTATGTTCTATGCGACTGGACACGCAAACAGAGAAGCCACGCCAAAGGTGAGTCAGACATCGTGGGTGCGGCTGTCGAGTTGGTTCCAAAACAAGTTCATGATTCACAAACAGAATTCAGTCGCACACACGACGAAGCTAGGTCAGACACAGGGTCAACCGCACCGTGGAGGGGGGGGGAGGCGCACACAGTCAGGAACAAGATGAGTGGAACAACGAGAACACAGGCAAACTAACACAACATCGCTTCGGGAATCACTCCGCGCAAATCTTGGGAAGAAGCCGGGTACAAGTATAGACGAAGACGGATATGACTTAAGTGGATTCTGGATCCATTCGGGACCAGCTAGAATACCAAGCCGGAATTTGCCGAAGACGTTGCAGATTGTGAAGGAAGCGAAGAGAAACGGGTATGAACTCTACCGTTACCTCGGCAGGGGCAAAACAGTCAAGCTTTGTCTAATATCCTCCGCTGGCAATGTGGAACCCTAGGGACGCCAACTCGAAGCCTGTGATCGTCACGCGTCCTCCAGGCCGTGGCCATTAAATCGAGTGATCTCAGGAGCCAAGTCCGTCACGGTGCGAAAGTACATCTGCACGCCTCACATCCAGACGGTTTCTTCCTCCGGCCTACAGTGCAACTGGTCCAGGGCGGCTGGCCCTGCGGTCATGGTGTCTACTCATGCTTATGATGAGTAAATCATGCGGCTTCAAGACATGCACTGATTCGCTTCCAAGCAGCACGACTGCATCAGCCTGCTGGGCAAGAGTGGTATAAGTAAACAACACAAATTCAAAAAGGAAACGATCAACAAGTCCACAGCTTGTGCTAGCAGGCAGCTTGTGGGCCAACGTAAGCTCCATTGCACGGTCCCGGTCCAGGTGATGCGGCTGCACTGCTGTACCATTGAGTCGGCGGACTGCGTGATGAAAGACGTCAAGCGCTAAGGCCCCAGGAAGGAAGCAGATCAAGTGATCCTGCAGCCGTGAGGAGCTAATGGCAGCTACGTATCAGTTGGAGACTGCGACGTGGCTTCTTAGCCTCCATTCCCTACATGGCAGCAAGATATGGCAAGACAGCGGAGAGCGAGTCACTACCTTCCGGTCAGCGCTGCTTCATATCGGATTTTGTGAATGTCAAGTCGGTTCAACCCACTGTCCATCTTGGGGACTGTGTGCTTGAAGGTGACCTCGAGCACTTGGGCAATCGGTCTTGCTGAGTCTGGTACCGGCCCTTGCGCAGCACTTCCGCTGACCTCCTTCAGGAACACCTTAGCCAGAAGCTGTCTGGACTCTTGAATTATGAAGCTGTAACACGCAGAGCAAAAACAAGCCCTGCAAGCAAGCCCATGACTGCAGGCATCACAAAGGCCGAGCCATCTGCCCACTTTCCAGGGATATCGCGGGAGGACTCGAACCAGCCGCCCTGCGCTCCAGCCGCACCTTTGGCACCTTCCACCTGCAACAAGGCAGCAACACATGACAGCGCTGGAAGTTTGAATAAAGCATACCAAGGCAAGGAGGCTTTTGGCCGCTCGCTGCTGCTCAGATCCTGCTTCCGGATTCCTGCTTGGCTTCGCCATGCTTCGCCTCTCGTCGCTGTCTAAAGGTACCGGCTGCAGGCGCGTGTCGTGTCGCGTCTCGGGTCATCTGAAGGCAGTCCGCACACGCAGTATGTAGACTTTCGAGAGGTCGTCGACGGACCTGCGAGGACACGGAGCACGTCGCAATCCAGTGCTTAGCCGGTTCTCTGCACCAAGTGCACGCCGAGCTCGGACACCACCTGGGCTTCGCAGAACTACCCAAGAGCCCCAGAAATGCGGAAGGAAAGCCGGCAAGAAGCCGAGAGGCGAGATCACTTAGTTCACCCTTTTCCAATTCGAAGGCCACTTTAACCACCGCCACGGGCACACTGGACTGCACAACCTGGCAATGTGGAGAACCGTGATTAGCATTGGCAGTATGTTCTTTTCCTGAGCCAGACTAACGAAGCTTAGACACCGCTACCATGTCGTTGTCTTATCTTCGTTCTCTGCATGTATCTTATCAGTCCTATCACATACAGTGGTGTGAAATCATGTGGCTCATCGCTGTTGCCATGGGACGGACTTCGGGCCGCCAGGCTGGCCCTTCGCCTTCGCCAGTGCTGCAACCTTTGCCTGGTCCTGGCGAAGGCGAAACATGATCTTGCCTGGAAGCTACATGTACCCTGCTGGGCGAAGTAAAGCTGACCAGTCCAGCCAGCCAAGATCACCGTTGTCTGCTCCCCCGCGCATTGCGGAGCCGCATTCCGACAAGGCCTTGCAGATGCATGCGAAGTTCGCAGAGTTCTCTGCCAGCAGCTTGTCCAGGACATCCTGACAACACACAGAGCTCACGAGCACATACCTCGCAAACATCAGCTGGGAATCTTAAGTCTTTAAAATAGGCCTATGCTTGGTCGTTCTCTTCTGGGGCCAGGCACCAGCATCTGGACCTCGGCTTCCTCCAGCATCCTTGTGATGGGCTTTCTTGTAACTGGGTTGATCGGCTGCGCACCTTTACCTCAAAGTTGCATCGATCGAGCATGAACAAGTCCGGCAAACGTTCTTTGAGTTGTGGAGAAAATAGTCTTCCCAGTATTCGCCCAAAGCTGGCTGAGGTGCCCGACCAAAAGCGAAGAAGTATCTGGCGAACCCGCACCTTGCTTTGTTTCATCTTCTCCTGAATCACTTGCCCCATCTGCATACAGCAGGAACTCTCTTGCGCCTTGAATCCTGCAGCCATCTGACTACGCTGCCGAAGACACGTGGTCCTTGGCAGCTTTCCTGCCGACGTCCACGTTCTCTTCTGCAACCAAGACCTTTGAAAGCCCAGGTTGCTAGAACTCCACAGGACCTCCACTTCTCCCCTGCCTTGTGCCCGCCAAGGCAAGCCGTGGCCGCTGCCAGGGGCCCAGCAGAACCCGCCTCTGCCAAGAGCGCCGCATGCAGCGCCGGTCGCAGCGGCGGGAGGGAGGGACCCGTGTGGCAAAATGGGCGCGCGCGCCTGGCGCGCTGCACGGAGCAGGGCGACGGCGGCCGCACGCGGCCGCCTCTGAAACAGTGACCTGGGCTCGGATCGAGCGGCAAAGGCTTCAGCTACCCCTGTGAGAGCTGGGCGATGCATGAAGGTCGAGATGCCGGCTCACCGAAGCGCAAGTCACGTTGTCATCCAGAGTTGGGACGCCCGCGACGAGGGCAATTGGAATGCACAAATCTGCGACACCTGGACTTCTGGCTGGGAGCTGTTGGAAACAGCAGACGAATCCATTCACCTCCATGGGCACCACCGCAGTACAAGCATCACTGGTAGCTCCAGCCATTAAGCAAGCGCGGGCGCCAGGTGCAGAAGCAGCTATAACCTTGCGTCCAACAAGCAATGCCACGGCTGCCAACGGCAGGGCCCCATTCTCGCCCACAACGTCCATCATGGCACCCGTGAGTGCGCCGAACCAAGCCTGGTCAAACCAAGTACTCCGCCACGAAGCAATCCGCCGCACAAGCCTCTCGTGAAATGTGCGCGCCGCACCCGGGCCGTCACCAGCCGAACAACCAAACACACCGATCATGGAGGCTGGTGCATCCACGTGGTCAAAAGGGGCTTTCAGGGCTTGCGCGACGCGATGGAGGTCCGGAATCACCACTGTCTTAGGTGCGCTTTTGTTGTCACTGCTCGCGATGGCAACCGCTGTGCCGGAAATCAGTTCTAGATCGTCATGTCGCACACCTTCTCCTCGGCACAATACTGCTCACAACGTGCAAGCATACAGCCAAAGGTGAGCTCAAAAGCAAGAGCCAGACTACCCTCAAGCCCGTACCGAGGTGCTGATGGGACAGAACATGCCTGTGCTTGCATTCAGCCAAGCAAAAGCACCGGTCTTCTTGTTGAAGAACTCTTCTGTCTTCGCATTGAAGAGCCATTCCTCATGCTCGCTCACCTCAAAACCTGGCGGTGGATCCGGTAGAGCCTCTGCATCACTCCTGCTGGACTAGCTGCGGCAACGACCCCTCACGAAGTATGCTGTCATTTTGCTTCCCATGCTCCTGTCATCGTCGGAGGCCCCAGCTCGGTTGCCGATCACATCTTCAATGAGCTGTGTCGCTTTCTCTATGGACTCAGCCGTACCGGTAATGGTCACGTTTCTATCCTTTGCTGGCGACAACTAACTCGAGGACCATTCGCCAAATCATGGCTCAGAAACAAAGTCAGCAATTTGGGCGGGCCGCTGCGTCGCGATCACCATCATCCCTGGACACCTCTATTTTGGCACCACTTTCGCGGGACATGGCCTTGACGTTCTCACCACCTCTGCCAATGATCATGCCTGACACCCGCAATCCGAAGAGCAGGTGCCGATTTGCTCACTGGCATGTAACATGTGAAGGATGTGTGGGAGATGCAGCCTGGCAGCCCACAAATGCTCCAGCGACTTGCATGACCTTGCGCTGCTCTTGTGGGGGTCGTTTTTCGCTGTCCACGATCCTCTTTACGGCAAGGACTGCCCGGTCCACTGCTTCTGGAGATCCTGTGATTGTCACAGGCCGGTCCTGAAGATAAAACTGACTACAGATACATCACTTGTGGAACGGAAACGGGCCACTGGCAAAAGCCTCCACAAGCCTCCGGAAACAGCTGACTACGCATCGTGCGAACACCGCCGGCAGACAGCACAAACCCTGGCTCAATACTCGACTCTTCTGAGAAACATCCAAGCACAGACCTTTCCTTGATCTTCTGCGCCGGAGTTCCCCTAATCATGGACCAAGCATCGGCAGCGCCGGCATCCTCCCTGGCAACTTCGATCCGTGCACCCGTCTCTCTGCACATCGCATTGATGCTTTCACCACCACGGCCAATTAGCACACCTCGGAACGAAGAAAAGAAAAGCTTGCTGTGCATGCTCGCATCCACCACGCCTGTCAACTCCGGCGGCACATAAAGCCTGAGATTCCGCTCGGTTTACTCTGCCAAGACAAAGGCCTGTTAGAGGAGGGCGAAACATGGAGTCCAAAGCCAGAACCTAGCCAAGCTGCACCTGGCGTCCAACCCGCTCATGAGATTCGGATTTGCATTCACGCGACCTCACCGAGAACAATGACTAGTTACACATCATTTGCATCTCTGCACAGCAGCTGCCCGTGACATTGTCACACCGCCCTAAGCGGACAGATGCGCTGCCTGCTCTGAGACCCCTCGATTCACTGTTTGCTGTCAAATGCCTGGACCGTGACCTGGAGCGCTCTATCACGCCCTCGACCATGGCTGGGGTCGGCTGGACAGCAATCCAGTACACAGCGCAACAGCGTTCGCTGAAACCGCTACATGCTGGGAGTCAATGAAGCCACACTACCTAATGCCGCAACCAAAGCCCCCGAGTCCGTGTGTTCGCTGTAAGCCAGGCTTGAAAGGCGACGTGGTCCCGAAGTGAAGTTGAGCCACATTCTGTCTGACAATCGCTGACGCACTCTTGCGACAATGGTCTTCTCGTGCCACCGTGCCTTCTGCGGCCGTCGCAATGCAGTCTTCATGGGCTTGCGCATGCCTGCCGGAAACAGCAGCAACCCCTGCAACCACCTCCGGTCAATCAGCTCACGGCGACACGCGGCTTTCTACTACGGCAACGAATGGGTCTTGGTCTGGGTCGGGCCACGCTTGGGCCAAGCACACAGGCCCCCAATCTCGAGCACCGCTGCAGTGGGCGGGTGCTGTCAGAGACTGTTGGAAAAACGGGGCTCACTCGGGAATGGCTCTATAACGGCAGAAGCACACAGGCTTATTCATTTCACCAAGCTGACAACACAAAATCACATACCTCCCAAAAGAATTTCAATTCTGTCATTCCCGCGCTGTCAATTAAAGTATTTTCGAGCAATTCGATGCAGATGTACAATATAGGCCCGTCCAAGCCCCTCTGTGATCTCGTCACATGTTTCAACTGTACAGCCTCGGACGGAAGCCTCAAGCTCGTTACAAATCATGCTTGAGCCATGAAGCCCAGGTGGTATCCAGCCTGCCACAGGCAGACTTCACAGTCTCGGACGTCCTTGCCAGCCACGGACATGCTTCGCCAAATGTCAAAGCCCCCCATGACTCCTTTGCCAAACAGCTTTAGCAAGATACATGTCTTGCTGCCCCTGGCTGACAAGTGTATGAGGCTCTCTGCATGCGTGGCCACACACAATTCAAGCATGCCTTGCCAGTACATTTTGGTCTGAGTTGGTTTCCGTTGTCGTTCCACTAGCAGAGAGCACATATGCAAAGAGTTCTTCGAGTGAATTCGGTTAGTTTCGTCCAGTCAACGGAAAATGGACGCCATGCACAAATTTGGTGACAACCCATGGATGCTTTGGAAAATTGACATGCCATCCCGTTATTGGAAGTTTGCACATGGGCACATACAGATAGGCCTCAAGCCAAAAAAACAAAAGCCCTGAAGCCGTGCTTTGCATTGGCTGGGCTTCATTTTGAAGGCCTCCTCAACCTTCTAACAGGTCCACAGGGTCGCTAGCAATCGGAGCTCCTTTGCGTTCGAAGCTGTTGATGAGAAGTACTCTCCACCTCAGCCCCAACCAGCCATTCGCAGCCTCTCACTGAGCCTGCCAAAGAGTTCGCGGATCCTGGTCGATGCTTAAGCCCCACATTCATATGAGAGCGCCTTTTCGAGCCGTCACCCCCTCCCGGCTCCTTTCTTGCATGGCGGAGAACTCCGCTGAGCCTCGCATGGAAGCAAATGCACAACGCACAGAAGGCACAGAATGCTTGAATTGCGCCTGCACCCAAAGCCTGCTGGCGGCGTTTCTCGTCTGCCTGCTTGGACATGAAGCCCATTGCCATGCTGAAGGGGTCGGCCATTCCTCCGCAAGCTGGCGGCTCTGTCAATACTAGAGGCCGAGGGCCGAAGACGGAGAATGCCGGAGCAGTGCAGCAAGACAAGCCTGAGCCGATGCCTGTCATGGAATTTGGCGGCTGGTTGCCAATCTCATACATACCTTCGGCTGCCAGTCGACGTTGGGTCCAGACACCATGCCAGACACCAGTTACGGGCACCCAAGAAGTGTTATAAACTTGTGGACATATGTAAAATTGGGGGCCGAAGCGGCGGTCGCGGGTGACGTGCTCGAGGACCTGGAGCTCCTCCCGGCTGACCCAGTAGATGCAGTCCACGGGGCAGGACTGTACCTTACGGAGAGCACTCCAAGCATAGCATGGCATGCAGCATAGAGCATAGAGCATGGAGCATTGGAGCATAGCACCCAGAAGGCCAGGGCACCGCGTAGTCCAGGAGCTCTTCTCCGTTGCCCCACTGTGCAAACACCTCACAGCACACTCAGAGCACCCTTCTGTCTGCGCTGCGCTGCTGGACATCGGGAGAGGAACCCGTGCGCGTCCAGCATCTGCATCAATGCAGAAGGTTCGAGGCGCAACATCGCAGCCTTAGCTCACGATGGCGATGCTCTTCTCTTGAAAAAAGCCTCGTGGTAGTCATTTCTCAGCTTGGAGCAATTGCGGCAAGCGATGCAAGTCCATTCATCAACAAAGACCTGAGAAGAGCAAGACTGCAAAATAGGCAGGAAGAGCTCGAGCCGGGTCGTTGCCCATGGTCGGTCGCTCTGAGCATGCTGCAAACTTTTCCTCGTCGTGTTTTGGCCCTGCTTCTTCTGGTGGCACTTTGTGGTAGAGAGACCGTGACAACGGCCGCCCGTTGTAAACGGGCTTCCTGAGACGCAAGGTGCAGTGTCGAGCGAGTTGAGCAAATACCAACCCCCGAAACACCCGCAAAGCAGACGACCTCCTCATTTACTCGCTTGCGTGGTTACCTGCTCTTGAGCCAAGCATCGCCTTTTTGTTGCCATTCTTGGAAGTCCAGTCCTCAACACGAACAATTCCCAGGATGTTCGCCCACAAGAGCGTCCGAAGGCACAGAACAGGATCTTGCAGACATGTTGCCCAAGTTGGGGAGAGGTCTTCATCAAAGACCACCTTGGGCTAGCACACAGCCAAGACCTCTCAAGCCACTCTATCAGACTGCCAATTACTCCGGGATGTGGGCTGGCTGTTTGGAACCGTTTCGCTCCACCAACTCGATGTCATAGGCCTCGCCCGGACACGTTGTTCAAGATAAATCGGTTGCTGGGAATTGCTGGGTCTTGTGTGGCCAATGGGTGAGGCCTTCTTCTCTTCCTCGTTGGACAGCACATCGTAAGCATCGTTCAGAAGAATACAGACTTCCTCGCCTTGAGAAACTGTATCGCAAACCCGTGTCGCACAGAAACCTCATTAATAAACTCCATGTTGCAGCTATGGCTAAGCTATGGCCCCGGCCATCATCACCGGCTATGTCAGGATGGCAGATCTTCATCTTGTCATAGTAAGCCTTTTTGATTTTGTCCTTGGCTTGCTGCTTCTCGCATGAGGACTCGTCGACGCTTGCGCAGTCTCGCACAACCAAGCTTAGGCTCGGCATCCGCATCTGCATTCACACCCAGTAACTCGTAGAGGTCCTGTGGCACTTTGACGATGCCGCCTGTGTCTGTCGAGGCCTGCTCCACATCCGAACCTGCATCACTAGGCGAGTAACGCAGGCCTCGCAGTTGACGCTGGGCTACAAGATGCTACACATGAAGCTGCCTGCATGGCGTGGAAGCCTCCGCCTTTTCGCCCCAGCAACAACGGCCAAGCCGCAGAGGCTAGACCTCCGAAGCGACGGTAAGAGACGAAAGAGCTCGCTTCAACGACGTCAGATCGGAACGGCAGGGAACTTCAGCCGAGCCTGGCTACACAACCCACCGCACTGGGGCCGTTGGGGGCCCGCTCCGCCGCACGGACGGTATGCTTGTTGGCACTTGCAAAGGCCGTACTGTGAACATCATGAACCTCGGCGACATTGGCTGCGACTCTTGTGCAAATAAATCGCCACAGGAGCACCTCTTCTAATCTCACTGGTCAGAGCACTCTGGTCGGCTGCAGCTGCCCCAGGATCAGTTGCTGCGACAGCATTGCAGCATCAAGCGATGCGGTTACACTAAGTCAGGGGGTCTGTGGGTTCCAACGTTTATGAATTGCCACATCATAGCTTAATCACTGCTTGTCTCGGGCATACACCTCGTGTTTGCTGGTGCTTAACAAATGCATCATTCGATCCTACTCGAGCCTCAGACATCACAAATGACATGACAAACGCTGCCCACGCTTGTCCACGCCACGAACAGCACGCAGCCCATGCTGTGCCTTGCCTTTGCTCATGCCTTTTCGGTTTAGCTTGCGAGCCTGCCTGACAGAGAGCAGGGGCGACTAGACGCTGAAAGCCTTCCAAAAGCTGCATCAGGAGACCTGGGCATGTCGACCTCCACCAGAAGATTGCGCAGCTTGGCACGAAATGCACCCTTGGCTTTCTCTTCGGGATTGCAAGCAACCTTCAAAACAAAAGAAATCCAGCGAAACCTGCACATTGATTCCAGGCAACCCATACGCTCAGCGTTAGTGGATTTGCATGGGCTCCCAAGAAGATAGCATCCTTGAGCAAGTACTCCTTGGTGCAGCAGTTGTGAATAATACAATGCGCTCTGCAACCTTTCTGATTATCCTGCACCTCCATGCCGCACAGGATCGTAGAAAGAGTCGCCACGGCTTCCAAGTGAAATGCGATTATCCTGCATCCCCTTGGCTGGGTCATGTATGGCCGAAACCTGATGAACCTCGTTTCTCGTCGCCCCGAACAAAAAAACCCGAGGGCATGAAATGAGTATGCGGGAGGTGACATCATGCGCTTTGCCGTGCATCAAAACCGAAAGTATTCATGGTACACGACTGGGTGGGTCCGTGCCAAAGAACATGGACGTATCCATTCTTCCTCAGCTTGACTCCAGATGTGTGCTGGTACGTGCAAGTCTGGGCCAGCCGAGTCTTTGCTGCCGAAACACTTCAAAAGAATCGCAGCATAGCCCCTCGTTTCAAGGCCAGCGCTTTCGTTGAGAACATGAAGGACCTGCTTGGGATGACATCCGTCACGGGTCTGTTTGCCGTACTCGCTGGTCTATCAACAATAGCAGTGCAAACGCTTGAACTTGGAAAGGCAGCATAGTCGTCAGCACGCTACGGAATCAGTATTCGTTAACCTTCCACCGGGCTGCACGATGCTCTAGACTCTAGCCAGCACCGCGCAAGCCGTGAGATCACTCATTCCTTCATGCCTTCCTTACACTCCTGTCTGCCTTCTTCCGTTGCATGCCAAGTCATGCGTTGATCTGGCCAGCGCTTGCTCGCAATTGCCACTGTCGTCTCTGTTGCCAACCCATATCAAGAGAAATTAACAAAGTCTTGGCTTTCAAACGCGAGTCACATGCTGCGGGGCCTAGTGGATGACAGTCGTTTCACTTCTTGCCTTTCCATTGCTTTGCTTGGCCCTGGCCTCTTGCCCCACCAAGCAGAAGGGAACCGCTCGGCTGCAATCCTCTCCTACCGTACGTACGGTTCAAGTGTTGTAAACCTCCCTCAAACCTCGACCTGCGGTTTTCATAAGGTTTCGACACCGCTCCGATTCTGAGCCTTTCTGAGCCTTTGCCGCTTGCACAAGGCCGGGCCCAGTCTAAATCTAGGGCTCTTTCAATGCCACACCACCAGAACAAACCCTGCAGACGTTCGTCAGTAAGGATACCGCATATGGCAGTATTGATCCCTGTGCCCCAGCTTCAGCATCCTGCAAGGTCTTGTGGTTTCCGCCCAAGTGCCTGGTCTTGGTGCAGTGCATAGCTGCAGTTAGATGTGAGAAGCGCCAGAGCTTTCCATTCCAGCGGCACATAAGTCTCCTTGCGCGATCTGTCACGTCTATCTATCGCTGGTCGAAGTCGCACTGCCTATGCATCACAACAATCATGCTGAAAATCTGAAAAGGTCAGCAACAACAAAAAGTGACTAGTGCTTACAAGTCTCAGCTAAGGAGAGGTATCCTGCAAGATCGTTCGTTTTGCCTGTCTGTAAGTTCACATCGGAGAGGGGAAGGGCTGTGTGATCCTTCTTCGCCCTCTTCTCGTCGTTTGTGAAATGTCCGGATGGATCCTCGACCAGGTCGCCCAGATCGAGGTCATACTCTCCAGAGAAATCGCTGGTGTCGGTCAGGTTGGTCAAGACTTGGTGCAGAAAGCGCTTGGCTCCGTCGAGCCAGTCCTGAAGCCTTCCGCTACCCGGATTGAGGTCGGACATGGACAGCTGCTGCTTGGTACTCTGGGGGCTCGGAAAAGTGGGAGCAAGCCTCATGGCCAAGTCATTGGCCTTGCCAAGCAAGCCAGGCCGGCTGCTGAGAACGAAGGCAGAGACCAGACCGCCCAAATGACGAATCGAGGTCTCGAAATAATTAACATTCAAATTTTTGTTGAAGTCTAGGTGGCTCTCCGCCCAATCGGCGGCCCGATCGAACTCCTCGTGAAAGCCCATGAGCCAGAGAGTGTCAAGAGAATCCACCAAAGTTTGACCCAGTCCGCCCCAACTATCAGTTCCACGTCCGGAAACGGGTTTCAGCTCATCTTTCCCAAAAGCACGCTGCTCGTAGTTCGACCAGACGTGCCTCATCATGGACCGGGCCTGGCGCTGTGCCAATGCGGCCTCCTCCCTCAAGTAGGCGTATGCCTGGTGTTTCCAAACCTCCGGTGGCCTGGGGCCAAGGCCACCGCGGGCTCGGGTGCAGCGCACTGCCCGGGAGAGCATGGGGCAGCGCCCGCAAGCAATCGACGCAAAGGCTTCCAGCTGTGATATTGAAAAAGACGCCAAGGTCTGCTTGTCCCATAGCTTCGTCAACACATGTGGTGATTGAGGCCCTCTGGTCTCACACCCTGTGCCTGTCAAAGGCCCCAAGATCAACAGAACCGACGCCCAGCAACGGCCAGCGACGCCGGTCCTCATGGCCAGTTGCGCTGCAGAGCATTGGCAGCATCTGACCAAGCCACTTAGCAATGACAGTCATACAGCAAGCTTGAAAGAACTGGCGAGTGTGAATTGTGGTTCCTATGCCCTCACTCTGGAGGCTGCACCGTACAATGCATTCCAAACAGTCCAGGGGTCTTCCATGAAGCCCAATACGGCTCAGACGACGCCTGCATACCTGTAGATCTGTATGTAGATCTGCTGCAAAGCCCGTGGTCACCCTTGCACATGAATCCCTTGCAAGAACAGGCATGATCAAAGGCTGATTTTCGGGACACGTCGAACCCATGCTAGCATAGGCTGCTTTCTCTGCGCTTACACGCAACCTGTCCCGGATGTTCTGGGACAGTGCTGCAGCAAGCCAGGGGAATTCAGGCTAACCCCGAGGACACGATGCCGTCCCAAGCGATTCCGGCAAGCTAAAGTCCCACTCTGGATTCCTGCTGCCTGTAAGACTTTTAAGGACTTTAAGGGCTTGCAGGGATGTGTTGGGGCATCATGCCTCTCGGAGAAGCTCGCGGAATCGGAAGGCCGCGGCTTTGTGCAAGCATGCTTGCGACGTTCCTGGGCTCGGGAGCAGAATGTGGGTTCGCAAGTAAGGGGCGCCGAAGACGGCACAAATCCGCAGCCTGACTGCTCCCATCACGTTCACGTGCCGCTCAGGAAGGTCTCAAGCGGCATCAGGTGGTTTCCGTCACCTCAAGAAGCAGAGCAAAACACAAGGGGGCCCTCTACCTTGAAGCGACAAGTACATGTTGCAGCCTGCACAGGCTCCGAGTTCACCTTCACAAGGCCAGGACACCAACACTACACTCGGATCAGAAGTTGCAGGCCTTCTTGGAACCTGCAGCTTGCGAGAGACACTCCTGCAGCCACAACACTTGAGCATTGAGCTCGGCTGCCGTATGAATTGACCCTCCTCATGGATGAGAATTAACACCACGAACTCATGCAGAACCATCGCAGATGGTTATCTAGCTAAGGCCACCCCTGTACAGCCGTCGCAGGAGCTAATTTGAAGCGTTCTGACACCCTTTTCGGCTGGCATGGCATGCCCGAAAGCTCAGTTGGCAGGTTCTGACACCTTCCGGGTTCTGTGGCTGGGTAACATCCCCGCGTGTTTGGGCGGGAGCAGAGCACCAAAGCCGGCAATCTATCGTCTAGATTTCGATAATGAGTTATAAGCTCATCGCTTAGATAGAGCTTGACTGTAACGGAACTTGGGCGACTTGGGAATTTGGGCCTGCAGGAAAGTCGCCTGCACCTCCCAATACCTGAGCAGCAGCATTCGAGACTGATAAGCACGCTTGGCCGTTGGGACCTGATCATCTGTGCAGCCAAAGCCACTCCTCGCCACCCTTCTCCCACGTATCGTTGTGGTGACCCTCTGGAAACACCTGGAGATCAGCGTGGGCACATGCCTTCTGGCACACTTCATGAGTCATCTGAGTCGCATGCCACCTGCCGCTTAAGCCTGCGCGAAGCACTGCAATGCTCGGCAGCGCCAGGGGCCGTTGTTTGCAGTACATGAGCACCCAGGACAGAGCCGTGCCTGGACTTTTCTGCTCGCGCATGCAGATGTCGAGAGTGGGAAGGAGGGATCATCTCATCCTCAGGCTCATCTCGTCGTGTATGGACCGTCGAGGCAACGTGGAGGCTCCTTCTCCCCTGTGAGGAACAGCATTGGTACCTCATGTTGCAGCGCTGCTCAGAGCCTTCGAGCTACGGTGCAAGGAGGAGGCCTCGAGGTCTGGAACTCTTTGGATGCTTTCCTGAGCGGAAGGCTCGCATTTCGCGACACGAACTCTGACACACTCAAAAGCTTTCCGTGAGACACTGCAGTTGAGAGGCCCATTTTATTCGAAGGAACCGCTTTTTCAGGCTTTCCTGACAACAAATGCAGTCGCAGGCCCGAGTCTGGGGGAACCTTTGGCTTAAGCGCGTAATCTGATCAATGCCACGCTAAGCATCGAATGCCAAAATGGGAAACAGCGCATTGACCTCAGCGTCTCGACGAGGTCCAAGTCAACCCAACCGAACGTACGCTCAGAGGCTGGCAACGTCACTAATGGATGTAAACCTGACAATGTAGCTAAGAGCTAGGCCTCCGCTAGGCACCAGAGACCAAGTGTCTGACGTGTTCTCTAAGATGAGACCCCTTGGGAGCGGCCTGGGCCGAATCATAAGGGCGGCAAAGAAGAAAGCACCAACTGCTTCGAGCGCCGACTCCAGGGAAGTGGCTGTTGCGCACGCTTCTGAAGCTCAGAGGCAAGTGCTATGGTAACTGCCTCGGTTTGTGGAATTCAAGGGTGCGCAATCTTGGCTGTTGAGGTTTTGGCTTCAAAGGCCATAAGCCCAAATGCGAAACGCAAGCCTTTGATCGATGCCTCTTCCCCACTACACCTGCGCATTTGCAGAGCTGCAAAGCCTGAACGGATGATTCTGGGACATCGGATGCGAGAAGCAGCCATGATGAGTGAGCCGAGCGGCTTTGCTTAGATGGCAGCGACAGCTTGACAGAGTAGGGGCCGGGCTCCACCAAGAGATCGGCCAAAAACGAAAAGCTGTTCCGCATCTATACCTCACTCGACCCTGGCAAGAACAAACACTTTTCTTTCTCAAGACTTTGCGCCGAGGCCGGAGCGCCCTGCACTAGATTCCTGCAGGCTCCCATTCCAGACAGCCAAAGTTGCCTTGAAAGACATGTCGCACCTTTTGCAGCCACCTCCACGCACACAAGGCATCCTCAATGCATCAACAAGACACGGGTCATACCAGAAAGGAATCATTCACCGGCAACCCCAGCGAGGCCTCGATAAGACCCTCCTCGGAAGGCGTTCCTGGCCGACGCGCATTTGTGTGGCTCCGAATCCGAGATGTTGAATGACGGACCGATGCCTTCACTTTGGCCGTATCCCCGATAGTCGAGCGCAAAGACCTAAACAGGGCCATGCCGTTGCCACCCATTGCCTCCGCAGAAAGCTCAGAAAGATGGCTTTGCCGAGCTGGCCGCATTCACCTGCAGCCGTTTGATGAGATGCTCGAAGTTTGGAATGCGAAGACCAATATTCCTGCCGGTGGCAAAGCACAGCTTGCTTCCCCTTTCAGGGATGCGTTTGCCAAACCCCACATCAGTCCCGGCATTTGCATGGCAGAAGAGCAGCGTCGGCGCAGACCGAGTTGCCTAGGTGCCCAGAGACACTCTTCCTGTACTGTAACTGATGCCCAAGCGAGCCGAGAAGGTAGTGCATTCCTCCGGCGCGAACACAGAGAGCCGGACAAAGAGGGAGACAGGGAGAGGGAGAGGGAGACCACCTAGCTTGAACCCTGAGAACGCAAAGGCCGGGCCACACGGGCGGCTGCTTAATTTGACCCCAACACAAGGTCCGATCGTTCGCTGATGCGATCAACGGAGCCCGTCTCGCCTGACACAGGCCTGAAAGGGTCTCGGGGCCTGAGAGCTAAGCTGGGGACAGAATCATCTCCTGCTGGCAAGAACCATGCATGAATTCGCCTTGGCTGCTCCGATGTGACATCAACATGAGACCTACAGCTTCGCCAATGTTGAAATCCGGGGAATCTGCAAGCCATCAACTGTCTCCAGAAAGACCTCACGGGACAGGACACTTCAGTCTCGTGCCACTTTTGGAGTGCGTGGTATTGGAGTGGGACATCTTCGAACTTCATCTGCCTGTCAGCCTTAGGAGCTTCATACGTGCAAGAGTGAATTACCACGACACCCCGAGTAAGCTTTGCACAGGGCTGCGCATGCCTTCTGGGTTATCGCCTCAGGGGCCGGATTACGCAAGTTTCAAGCGGCATCCACCATCTTCAATGCCAAGCAGCTTGGGGTCTGCATTCCCGGCATAACACAGGGCACGTAGAGCATGGACTCCTGATAAACCCATCCCTGTCTCCGAGGCAGATGCTCGACGGAATTCCCCCCCAACTGCAGCCTGACGCATGATTAAGTTCACCACGAAGAACAGGAGGAGCGCAACCTCACATGCGCAGCAAATCAAACGCAGATCACATCCAGCTGGCTTTGCTCAATCTCGAGCTTCGTGCTCGACTTGAGCACACAACCGTCCGGATGCGCGTGTTGCTAGCGCACGGGAACACTCGGTTTGAGGATCCCAGGCGCTACTTGTGCCTTGCTCGGGCTTGGAAAACATGCGAGATCGTTGGTTTCAATGTCACTTGAAGAAAGCCACGCACCACCAGCCGCTAGCACAAGCAAGTGTTAAAAACAAGCATCCAAAGCCGCGATGAACGAACATTGACGAACTCGTCGGCGCTGTTAGTGCTCTATACGCTTCTCGCTCCCAGACTTGCCGATGCATGCGAGCTGATCCGGCGGCACACATTCGCCCGAGCCTGCCATGAGTCTTGTTTTCTGGGACGGAATGACCAACGCCCACTGTGTTTGCAGTATGCGTGTGCTTCTCTGCACCCACCAGGAAGCAGAGCATGCACCACACTAGCTCATCACTCCCTTTGCCCAGCTCAAAGCATTGAAACTTTTTTGTTTTGTTTTTTTTGTTTTTTCCTCGCACCTTTTTGATGTTCGCATGGTCCAGGTCCCCGTGCAACCTGCGAACTACGGGCCCAGAAGGCTGGGCGCGGGAGGGGCTGGTTCTTGAATGCACCAATCACAAGGAACTTTAGGGGGGCAAGTCCCTCTTAGGAGTATCAAGGCCCTCTAACTCTAACCCTCCAAGGATCTTTATGAATCGAGAGATTTCAGTTGAGTTTACGCCGAGGCGCTACGATGACAACGGCGACGATCCATGAGCAGTTCAGTAAGAGGACCAGCGCCAGGCCAACGACCAACTCGGTGCAACGACACTCGGCTCACAACATGCTGAGGTGAAGAGCTATTGCACAGTTGCCCTGAGACCCGATACCGGAAGCATGGTGCCGTTGGGGCACCTGACTGCCAAGACGAGTCATGCGATGTCATGCGCAGCTTCCAAAGGAGGACTGCGGGCAAGCAGGGTCCCGTGCTGCTCCGCCGCAGCTCCGTGCCCGACACATCTGATTTGAGCCACTAAACAAACTGCGGGCAAACAATTGCACCTGTGGAGCCCTTGAGCAGTCACACGGTGCCCTGGCTGCTGCAGACTGCAGTGCACCGACATGTTGACAAATGACAAATGAACCCTGTTTTCGTGCCAGCTATTGCTGTTGATGCATTGGCCAAGATAGGAAAGTATGTGAACGCTTCTTCGTCGATTCGATGCGAAAGTCACTAAACATGGAAAGCTTATAGGCTTTGGCTTTCCTTCCTGAAACCCAGAAGCAGCCGTTGGAAGAGCGGAACAGCAACATGGCAAACCCGCTGAGGGACCCATTGAAAGACCTGTGGAGCCAACATGACATGCTCAAGGCGCAAGAAGGAAACCTTCCAACAGCCGCACCTAAGAAACTCAAGGCTTGCCTGTGGGACATGGCTACATTGGCCACGTGCCCAGATGTCAATTTTACTTGCCTTGCCATGGCGGTCGGAGATGTTGCACAGAGTCAGAGCGCGCTGCATATGTTGCCAGAATCATGTTCTGGCGATGCATGACCTGGCAACCGGGCAGATCGGCCAGGAAGAGGCTCAGCAAATGTTTTGTGTTGGTTTACTTTTCGCACTTCTGTGAACCTGATTGCTTGGCTGCAGCAGCACAGGCGGCGTTGTGGCGCTGCAGGACAAACCTGGGAGCCATCTGCACTGTACATCCCTGCAAACAAGTGCTAGCTGCACCTGCGGTGTATGAAAAAGCTTATTCTGGGCCACGAACTCCTTAAGCAACTCGAAAGTGACTTCGTTGCCTGGCATTTCCATGACCGTGTCTTCGTTTGGCTTCCATGGCATGACGACAGAACAAGTCCAGAGTTTGCCTGAAGCTATCTGGCGAACAGCCTGCCGCAGCTAGCACCGACAGGAACGCTTGGGGTTGTTCAACTCCGTTTGTCCTCGCCTCGCTGGCCGTGAGTTCCGGGTCCATCGCGAAACGAATGTACTCGCGAGCACAGCCTCGTTTTGAGATGTCGTCTCACTTTACTGCCGGGCCAACACAGGACAACCATCAAGCAAGATCCAACTCTGGGATTAACGTCACCACAATGCCGGCATTCACTCATGTAACTAGCTAAAAAGCCGTGTATCCCTGTTCGTCGAGCACACCATCCATTACATCATGTCTTCTACGAGTCGCGGCATGCGAGGCTAGGGACAAGAAGTACTGGCACAATGATGCTGCCAGCTCTGCTTTCTTTCGCAGAGTTCCGAGTCATGGAGCTGCCTCAACGGAGCCGCACGAATACCTACTAGCCAGCATTGTCGTCGCGCGAACAACCTGAACTTGTCACCCAGCAAACTTAAGCACTGCCCACTTTGCTTGAAACCTGCAGCTCAACCAGCATATGGAGAATCAGTTTGCCAAACAGGGCCGACAATGGCAACCATCAACAGCTCGTTGTGCGTGCGCTGCGAAAGACGCACAATGACATCCGATGGCTGCCGAGCAGCATCTTTGAAGCACTGATCTAAGATGCAAATGGCAGGACGCCGATATATTGAGCACATGAATCCCACAGCCCACCAGGAGTTCAGAAGCTTGGGCGCGCAAACCCCGCGCCTCGCTGTTTCAGCGGTGCAGAGCATCGGGGGCAGCGTCCTATCCCGCTGCGCGGAAACAAAGCCCTCAACGCCGTCTATGTCAGCTCCGAGCAAAGTTGCTTGATGCAGGTTTCGCTTGCACTTCTTGGGGTGTGGGTCAAGCCCAGCAGCGTCGTATGCGACATGCGATTGCCCGAACACCCTAGTATCACCAACCGGGTCCCCTCGCAAAGCAGCAGCACGAGCCAGAATTTGCACTGAAACATGATCATCGATGCACAGAAATTCCAGAAACCTGCCTCGAGGAAACAGGTGCCTGAAGGCAACAACATCAGTGGGAAGCAGACAGCCCGCCATCGTCCGGAGAACCTCGTAGTGGCTCTGTTGAGCCAGCTCCACGGCGTGACAATTGGTCATCGCTAGGCAAGCGAGCGCCACAGCACAGGTCCCCCAATGGCGGCTCCGACCGCGTGCAGCCAGATGACTCAACTCACGAGCCCCGAAAGGCATGGCTACTGCGTTTCGTTTGGCCCTCGACTCGAGTCAGAAACCACTACGACGTGATAGAACTCGGCCAGTTCCTCCGCGCAGAATCGCGCTACGCAATCAGCGTGGATGAAGGAACCGAACGACCCGACCCTTCAGACTGCAACTCGGAACAAGGTGCAAGCGGCTCAACTTCGGAAGAGGGTGCATCTGATGTGCGGCGTGCTTTCGGAGGACGACTGCACGGTGCAAACGCGACATGCAACTCATGCAAGACAGCACTCAAGTCCACCTCCGGCCCTAAGACCGGCAGGTCCTGAATGAATTTCGCAAGGCCCGAGAACTTTTCACAGCTGCGGCAAAGACTGTCGGGCCGAAGGCCGGGGTCTTAAGAAAGCGGACCACCAACTTCAAAAGACGATCCTGGATTGAGCTTTGCTCAGACATCAATGGGCAGCCCACGCAGGCTTCGGGTGGGGGCTTGGCGGGTACCCAAGCAGCAGCCAGCTCGAGGAAGCAATGATGACACGAAGCAGGGCGAAAGCTGCGCAATAAAGCTTGGATCGCCTGCGCCGCTCCCGGCTATGCATCGCCAGACCAACACCGCCAGGTGGGCGGGGGCAGTAAGCCAGGAACGTGGCAAAGTGAGCCAGGGTACGATGATCTGCCAGGCCCACACGCTTGTCCAAGAATTCGCACGAAGAAGTCTCGGAGGGGCTGCAGCCCACCAGCGGCAGCTGTCAGAGATAAGCAACCCTGTGGCCACTGGTCCGCACAGGCACCCGATGCAGCAAGCGAGTGTCACAGCACAACTGCCAGGAAGAGCTAGGGCTCGAAGTTGCAAAGAGCCTAAGCTCCTGAAGGACTGGTGGCAGCAGGGTAAGCCACATTCAGCCGAATGTTTTTGAGGGTTCAACATGTTGCTTGTTTGCAAGTGCCGGACTGCACAAACATAATCACATTAAACATAAAAACGAACAGTTAAACAAATCATAATATGGCAGAATACAATACAAAATCAAATATGCACATTTACACATATACACGGCAAGGACTGAACAGCAAGGGGGGAAGCCATCCTGTCGCATCACTCGCATGTCTAAATTGTGCGAATGCATGCCACAAAGGCGGCACTAGGTGCCATCCATGCATGCAGGTTGCGGTCATTGCAAGCAACTTCTGTGTGAGAACATGTATTCTCTTTCACAGCGACCAGATGAATGAACACATAAATCAGGTATTAACGTGTCTTCCCATGTTACCTCGCCACTACCACAGCAGCATGGGTCTTGCTATATTGGCCTATCGACAACGTCTGCTACACCTTGAATCTGAATTTGGCACACAAATAATGCCTTCAATGAGACGTAGTATCTGTCTTTATGCGAGATAGCCGCAGGACACCGTAGCCATAGAATGCTAGTTCTACACCTCTGAACTTTGCTCGTGGCTTCTTCTACAAGTTGAAGAAAGGTTTCCTGTCTACGTTGACACTGCGACCACTCTCCGAGGCTCTTGCTTTCCGCCGCTGTATCCTGCTTCTGGCAAGACCCGCACCAACGGCATTGCCACACAAGCTGAAAGCAGATCGTTGGCCAAGAAAGCTCCTTGCCGCCAGCGGCAGAAGCCTCTGACACATCACCGTGGAGAACCTGAAAAGCAAAACACTTTTCCGACTGGACAAGGCCCCTATGCCTGTGGGATGCTCCACAGCAGAAGAATCGCTTGCTAAACCAGGCTCTGCGATTGCTGAGGCTGGCCTCTTCCAGCTGACTGGCGGACAGGACACCTGATTCGTCCTCTTTGCAAAGCAAAATCTCCGCTCAGCCTGGGCCTTTTACGAATCTCAAGGCGGCCTCCCCCGCCGCGACGAAGAGGCGCCACAAGGAGCGATCCTCGGAGCTCACGAGCCAACTGGCTGAAAGATGCCTCTATCTCAGCGTCCAACCAGCTGATCTTCAGCCAGCTCCAGGCAGCCTCACTGCAGGAGGGGATGGCGTGATCAGCCCAGTCGCACCATCTGAGCCGGTGGCGCTTCACGAAGGATCCGTGGGCGACCAGACCAGAAGGGACGGCAAAGGCCCGCCTGCAGGGCTAGTGTGGGAATGCCAACCTCCTGCAGCGGCACGTTTGTAGAACCGAGGCCGAGGCATGACCTTCTCGACATTCGGTACCTGCCAGACGCAGATGCCGATGTCAGGCAGGGTATGTTCGTGGCCTGGTTGCCCCTACGGCAAGGGCACGGAGATGCCAAGCTGCAGAAGCGGAGCAGCCGAGAGAAAAGGCGTCCTGAGAAAGCACGTCTTTTCGAAGCAATGACGTGGCCGGCGACAACTGCAAACGGGTGATGTCGCAGCTGACCCCGACAAGGCCCAACGTTGGCACTAGCCATGGCAACTTCTTTCGCTATGCCGCCTCCAATTATTCTAACTTCCTTCTGGAAAGAGGACGCATCTCTCAATGTAGGGTGCCGGATGTCGTCAGCTATGTCGAGGCATCGGGCTGCTCGATTTCGAAACGAAGTCTCGGCACTTCTTCTCCACCCAGCCGACCGACTCGTGCCAGAGCGACGTGGGCTTCCTTTTACGACCACATGCTGCCCAGTCTCAGCTGCACAGATTCCAGCGGATCACCCTGCCAGGTCAGTGCTGCAGCACTTCAAAGATGTCAACTGCAGAAGCCCGGACATGCAGCGAGTTTAAATAACGGCCATGTTACCCAGCTTTGTGAAGGCATCGAAAGGGTTGCGAAGGCTGTGCTTGCGCATGAAACCGATCTCAAGCTCAACTCAGCCACGACGTCTCCCACGACCTCCTGCGCAGGTCCGAGTTGTGGCAACGGCATCACAAAAGCACAACACCGACCCAAGATCCTTGCATTCCTGGCTTTGCTGCTCGATTTGAATGATCTTCTCTAAGACAGACAAGGGGATCATATTGAAGCAGAATTTGCTTCCGGACTGTAGCCATGGATAGCAAAGGCAGTCTGCTGCGGACGGTCTTCGGGCTGGATCACCTTGGAATAACACAAGTAACCAAGGGAGAAGGAATGAAGGCGAGAGCTGAACCGAACGGGAACGGTCTAACCTTGCTTGTGCCAGGGTTCTCTCCAGCATTCGTGAGCACAGTGCCTCTGCCTGTGCTGAAGCATGGCGGACGAGAGCCCAATCTGGGCTGCTCGCCTTCGGCCGGAAAGTCTCCGCAAAGAAAGCATCACCCGGGACGTGCCCTGTAAGGAGCAGGTAGAGCAAGCAGCCGCAACACCAGACGTCTTGCTTCCTTCGCCCAAAACTACGTCATCACTACAATTACGTGTGCTTGGAGAAATCCAACTGCCGCCATGCTTCGGGCTGCAAAGCTCTTCGATATCTGAACGTGGTGCGATCAGTTCGGCCACCGGTTGCGAACTCCGGGAAAGCCTTCCAGAAAGTCGCGAAGTAGACCGCAATGAGGGCGAAGGCAGCGTGCCGGCGACCCCAAGCCCTGAAATCACCACCTCGGCATGGCAGCAGCTCGGCAGCGGCTTCGAACCGTGCGGCCGAGCGGCGTGGGGTGCGCAGGCGGCGTCCGAGACAGAGGCGAGGCCCACGGTCTCCAGGCCGATATCGCCGTGCACGAGGCTGTGAGGCTTTAGCTGATGACAGTAGCTCAAAGTCTCCAAGATCTGCTTGAAGACCTGATCACGAATACTCGCAGAATCTCGCAGAGATGCACTGTGTGAAACTGCACACAGCGAAGAAGAGTTCAGCTTTCAGCCTGTGCGAGCCAGCCCTCAGAAATTCCAGTCCGCATGTCCAAGCGCGTCTGCATGAAATGCAGAAGCTGCACGTTGTCCACTATTTCGGAAATTATGTAGATGTCATTGAAGTCCTGCATGTGGCACGGGGTAAGAGCGGCAAGTTCTTGGAACACAGAGACCATAAGCTCAGGGAAGCATGTACTAGGCTGTAGGATGAACAAGGAAACACTCGGTGTGACGGCCTAAATTGCTAGCTCCCATACTGCCTCAAAGCTTTCAACCACGCGAGGAAGATGCGGATGCTGCAGGCTTCTCAACACTTCCACTTCGACTCGAAGCTGATCCTGCTGAAGTTTCAACCGCAATGCTCCACTCACAGGATCGCTTGAAAAAAGATGAAGATGCCTACCTCTGCAGCCAGGATTCTGCTGGGCACGCCAGCTGACTTTTGCGTGTCTGGCTGCACGATCGATCTTCGAAGCTCAAGCCTCGATCGGGACAAGCAGGAGCGGCTGTCCCGAGCTTAAACGTCACAGACCTCCAAGACTAATGGAAGTGCTCAGCAACGACTCCGGCAGCGATAGTGTTTTGCAAAGGTCGAGCTGGAGAGGTGTCGAAAATTGTCATAACCTGAGCCGCCACACTGGCAACAAGGTCAGTGGCATCTAACAAGGGCTGCAACACGCAAAGCATGTACTTCTGAACTTTCACACAGAAACGATCATGCACTCGCTTGGCGCCAGATCGGACAGTTCGAAGATTCCGCAAATACTTGGACGGCGCAAAATGATCCCGAAGCATTCGGCAAGCTGCAACTGCAAGATCAGTGACTTCCGCACGCGAGATCGAATCTCCGGAGCCAGACAACCCATACCTGGCCAACAGACATATCCACCAGCCCTGATATGCTTCCTCGTCACCAAGATGTTCCGTCCAAAGCTGTTCATCTTTTGCCTGGCCTGAGCTTGATATAGAACGAGCTACGGCGCTTGCAAGACTCCGCACCGGTCGGAGGATCACCAAATCGTCCCACAGATTCTCTGCTTGTCTCGCAATCTCCTTTCCGACCTGCTCTGCAACATGTGGCTCGGAGACAGGCACGCGAAACAACTCGAAGAGCGTCGCTTGGATATGGGATTCACCTGCAATCCCCTGGACGTCTGAGCTTACCGGCCCAACACCGCGAGGAGCAATCTCGGGGCTAGGCGGCAGCACTACGCATGCAGCACCGGGCGAAAGGGTCCGGTGCTTGTTCGAAGAGGTATGGAGAATCTTGGCGGAGCCAAAATGCGGTGGGGAGCTGTTGTCGTTGCCGAGGAAAGACGACGTCAAGCTTTGGCGGGAATCCAGACCTGACCAACTGCCATTCCTTCCGTCACCTGGTAGCTCAGGTGTGCGTGCCATTGGTGAGAGCGGAGCTGCCGATGGCCCAGTCGAAAGGAACGGATCAGGGCACGGAGCTGCTTGTCCAATCAGCTTGCAGGAGCCACTGACTACTGGAAGACTTTGCAAGCTGCCACTGGGAGTCCGAGTCTCAGATTGTGGGTCTGAGATGCCTGATCCTGCCGGCTGACTTATGGGAGATGCTGCAGCGCGAGCAGCAGCACGAGCAGTCTCTGCAAGCTCAGTCTTGCAGCATGCCACTTGCATTGGCGGCCCACCAACAATGCGAACAGGAGTGCCGCGGCTGGAGGCCTCTGGATGCTTCGACAACTTGGAAGTTCCCAAGAGCACCGGACTGCCTTGGGTAGAATTCACACATGCCTCCTCAACTCGTGTTGGGCTGCCGCGGCGGGACCCATCCAACAGCACACGGTGCACAGGGCTGCAGACACTCGCCTGCTGCGCCTGCCAATCAGAGCCTCGGCTGGTCTCCACCGACGCGACAGGGCTGCCAATGGCCGTCTGGCTCGGCTGCGTCGGGCCAGCTGCGCAAGCGTGAGACGCCGCCTTCGGGTAACTGAGATTTTGCTTGACCGGCATCATATCCATCTGTCGGACGACGGGGATGATGGGGCCAGCCTTCGACCTAAAAGGTATGTCAAGACAACGTTGTTCGGCTATCGACAAAGCATCACGCATAGTTGCAACCAGAGGTTCGCCCCATGTGCGGCATGTGGACACTGCAGCGGCGCGGCATGCGAGGTACGGGATGGACTCAAGGATGCGACTCGAGGACTCAACCTGTGCAGCAGACATGAGCAGGAGAACCGCAAGGCGGCAGCATGTGCTTTCCGCCCCCTGCAGTGCACATGACCTTCTTTTCTCCAACAACTCGGAAAGCACCTTTGTCTTGGAATAAGCTCTCCGTGTCCTCTGCGTTGCAGGGTCCACAGACACATCCTCTACGTGTCGAACAGTGAGCACAAGCAACACCCGCGGCTTGTCAGAATGATTCTCCGTTCCACAATGCAACACTCGACTGTCGTACACCACGGCATCCCCTTCTTGCAACAGGGCAATTCGTGACACTGCCTTATTGAGAAAAGAGGTCTTGTCTGCTGAGAACTGCCGGTGGGATGCCTGTCGGTTCGTTTGCAGCAGGAACCGTGTGGGTCCCATGCTCTCGGTCACATCCTGCAGGGCCACGAATGTCGTGAATAAAGCTGGGGAAGGTGATCCAGTGTCGCAATGCAAGCGCTGAGGAATAGCATCAGGCATAGCAACCTCAGTCAGCCCGCATCCGGTGCCTTGAACTATTTGTGACTCGTATAAACATAACACTATGATCGAACCAGGCCAGCAACCATGGCTGTGAACTCCCAGAGCCTTGCATCAGAACCTGCCAGGGCCGCGAGGGTACTGCCCACCCGACCATGGAGCACTTCCATGAGGGCGGTTTCGGTGATGTTTGTACGTGGCAACTGCAGCTCGAACCGGGTCTCCAGTGCAGTCTTTGATGCACGGGTTTCCCGTATGTCCCGCGAAAACAAGGTGTACTTCTGCGTCGGGTCATCTTCCACGCTTCTGCAGGCTTTAGACAGCTCTTCCAACACGAAAGCACGGAGGCGCTGACATGTTTTTTGCGACAAGGCATCTTGAATAGATGCAACTCCTTCTTGCTGAACCGCACGAATACTGTCCGAGCTTGGTGCCAAAGCAACTGCAGGTCCCAGCATGAGCTGCTGAGCAGCTGCTTCATTCGCAGCGGCTGCAACTCCATCCATCACAGCCTCGGAAAGCTCCGCCGCGTCCTGGGTATGTTCACCTTCCGGCACCATGGCCGCGTTCCATGGCAGAAGTGGACGGTCAATGTTGAAGGTCGACTCCCTCATCCGATTGTTTCTGCGTCGAGGGGCTATCCTCCGGCGGCGCACACGGGCAAAAGGCAGCTGCAGTGTCATCCCGCAGATGATCAGGATGCAAACCAAAACTGCATCCCGCTTCATCGCCACGGTACCCTGAAACGAAAGGGCATCTCACAGCACCGTGTCCCTATCATCACTTTGGACCATTCGGGAGGTTAGAACCTGGAGCCTCACGATGTCTGCAGGCGCTGGCAGTGTGCTACATGATGCATGAGTCGCGGCTCTGGGCTCACCAAGCCTTTGATGGCTAGGACCAGGAGGTAGGGTCGCTCCAGGAAAAGCAATGCCAACCGCTGGCCGCCTGGCTAGGCCCGAACTGCACAAACCATGCGTTCATCCTAAGCCTAAGATTCCCCCCAGCCTGGGTGCCGGGGCATTCGTGGGCTGCACGGTCTGCACCGCGGCTCGCATCACACACTGCACCTGCATCGCAAAGTTCATGTAGCGTGGAACAACCAGATTTGCTATTGTCACTGAGGCGCAGGTTGCACCACACTCGGGGTGTGAGGTAGAGCTCTGGAGCCAGGAGAGGCAGCTCTCACCGAAGGGGCATGTGGCCCCATTGGGAGGCTCATGCTCCAAGCGGTGCGCTGTGGCGACACTGATCGAGCTGTGAAGGTGCCGACGGTTGCCCGCATGGGCACGGGGCTTGCTGCGGCTCCTCCATTCTGACCGCTTCTAGGGCTTGAAGCACAAGACGAGATGCAGCTGTCGTGGGTCTGAGGGCCCAGCGCGAGTTTGCGGTCAACAACTGGACGCTGCCTGTTGACAAAGCACCTGATTAGGGCACGAGCAAGAACAGTCGAAGAAGGATCAACCGGCGCATCTCCAAAGTGTTCGGGGGACGCACTGCTGGCCACTGCCGCCATGGACGGTACCGGATGAAAGCGCGGGCTATCCCGCGAAGTGACCTTCGGGCCTCAGGAACTCCAAAGGCCCTCAGGGACATGTCAAAACTTCTTATTCGTGGCCAAACCATGGATGATTTGGGGAGCGTCCTAGCGCTTTACAAAAATTTCGTCACATGTTTCTGTGAGGTATCGAATAGCTCTTGTGAAAGTAAGAAGAACATCAGACTCACTGATCCTACTCGTAGCTTGCCCTGCCCTTTACTGCCCTTTGCTGCTCTTTACTGCTCTTTACTTACTTTTGCTGCCCTTTACCTGCCCTTTACAGCCCTTCTACTGCCTTTTACTGCCCTTTACCTGTCCTTTACGGCCCTTTACTGCCCTTTATTGCTCTGTACCATATTCTGGTTGAAGCCTGCGCAGAGCATGCTGTGACTGCACTAATTCAAAGAGCGCCCATACTACTGAATGAGACTATCACACAGAGGGGGAAGCGACCCCAGGATTGAACACAACCGAAGAGTTCAGGCCAGGCCTGCGAGAACCTCGTACGTACAACTACAGTGTTTTGCATCTGCCTCTATTTTGCACTGCACAGATGCCAGCACTGATTCGATAAACTGCAAAGCCTCTTGTCTGAGGTCTGCCAAACGGCATGTGCAGGAAGCTGGCAAGTCACGAAGATCCGCTGGGCGTTCAGCAAATCGAAGAGGGCCACTGGAAAAGTTTCTCAGAGCGGCCAGAGTCAATCCGGGCGCCGCAGAAGGATTTCTTCGTGGAATGGCTTTCAACGCCACAGGCATGTCCCAGTACGTCCCTGTGGCTACAGAGAACAACTTGCCCTCCGGCACGGCCACTGCAAAATCTTGAAAGGCATTCTTCGCACGTTGGAACTTCTCGCTGGCCTGATCGCTTAGATGCTGAGCCACAGCTCGCACTCGCCGTACACGTGCATTCCACGGAATAGGGCCGTTGCTGGTTGACAGCGCATGCAAGCAAACGAGCGTGTCAATCACTCTGATCAGGTACCACTCTGAGACAGCCAATCGCGTTTGCCCAACACCTCTGGACCCCTTCTTCCCGTAGTTCACATCAGGCTTTGCTGGGATCCAGTTCGTTAGAGGTAGCAAATTTTCCTTCAATGCTGCCGTGAGACCATGCACACGCTCCCGCCCGCTGACAGAGTCTGGATCAACCCCGTGCTCAACATGAACTGGCTTCCCCAGTTCGACCAACACGGCTGAGTTGAACTGGCAATGCGCTTCGAAGCAGAGATGAAGCGGAACAAGCACCACTTCATACTCGCTGCATCGCGCAGCCTGCAAAGCGATTCTTGCAGCTCCTGTGTGAACCTTGCGTATGTACGGATTTAGCTCTCGAGACCCGCCGACAGCTATCCAAAGAGCATGCCCGTGGTCCAGGCATTCAACCATTCTCGTGAATGGCAGCCCTTGGACGACGTGCAGGCACATCTCCACATGGTTTGTGTACCTCAAACATTGCAAAAGTTCCCGGAACTGTCAGACATCCCGACATGACTCGTGACATGACTCTTTGTGCACGCTCGTCTCTAGCGAAAGGGGGCTATTGTCTTTCCCCTCTCTGTCTCTTTATCTTGCTTGCTCAGTCGCATTTGCTCTCATGCCTCTGTAAGTCTGTCTTTCAGTTGGCATGAGGTGTGGAAGGTGTAGCTTGGCACTCATTTTAGCAAGATCATCAAACCACCACTAAACTTTGTACCGTATGTACCGTTCAGTACAGTAGCTTGCAAAACCTTCAACATCTTTCTTCTGACTTCGTGGTGCGAGAACCAGTTCTGCGTCAAACAGAAGCAAGGACGGGGTGAGAGGTACTGAATCAGGAGTCGGTCGAGCAGGCCGGTCGGGTGATTGGAACAGAAGATCAGTCGCTGATTTCCTGCCATTTTCAGGACCCGGTGCGGGTCGTCGACCGACACCTCGCGGAAGAAGAGCTTGAACAGGAGGTGGCTCACAATCCTATGGTACAGGTGCCAACCAGCCACGCAACCTGTCCACTTTTCCAGAAGCCAGCATATGACTTCAAGCACGAGCAAGGCCAGCGCAACTGCATGGTCAAGTGCCTCAGTATCCAGTAGCAACAGGCCAAACTCTGAATTAAACGGAAGCGAATCAAAGAACCCGATCCGACTGGAGCTGACATACCTACATTCATTGCAGAGCAGGTGACCTCTAGATTGCGCCGACCAGCCCACAAAGTCCACAGCTTCTGGCGTGGAGAGAATTCTTCGGAGGGCCGAGGCCTTGGCCTGGAATCCATGTGGAGACTGTGGGCCTCGGGCCTCGATTCGATGCCTGGCTTTTGCTTGAGCCGCAAAGCGCCAAGCAGGCTGAGAGGGGGTCTTTGTTTCTGAGCCTTTTCGCAAAAGCCCGGGGCTCGAGCTTCTGGTGCTGCCGGTGGGCGTTGGCGACAGCACCCTCCGAAGCGCATCGCACACCCCACCACAGACTGTCTTTCATAATGGCTTGCGTTGCCTTCGCGAGGGCAACGTGAGGCGCGCACCTCACGTCAGGCGATGCGGTGAGACATGGTTCAAGCTCGATCTCAATCGTAAAACATTGTCCGACGTGCAGGGTGCGATCGCTGATCCCGAGACAACAGCCTGCCATGGCTGCTCCGGCCACTTGGGCGAGCGAGGCCTTGCATCAACCCCCGGACACGTTCTTGCACAAGACACCATGGAAGCACTGCATGGCGCTGCACCTGAGCGTGGAAGACGGCCACAACTCTGGAGCCTGGCAGCAGTTCCTTACATCCGCGATGGCATGCAAAACATGCTCCCTGCCTCCATCTCCTGCCTGACGTGGCGAAACGTTTTGCATGTGGCCTGGAGCAGAGTTTTCAGCTGGGAGTGCCTCCTCACTCCCGACACCGGACCCGTCCTGTGGGTTCTATGACAGATTGGCAAAGCAGCTTGGCCACACCATCTCGCGCATTTTAATTTAACTGCCGATTTGATCACGGAAGCTCGGAAACTGCAGTATAGATTTGCCGCAGCACCGCACTAGCACCCGGATCAGGTGGACGTGAAGCACCAGAGTCTGTCGCAGCTTGCACGGCAATGTTGGCATTGGCCAAGGCTCTCCAAATCCGTTCGCATTCACTTCTGAGGTTGTGTTGCTGGCTCGCCAGCTGCTGTTCGAGCATCACCCGCTGCTCTGTGAGCTTCCTGTCATTCTCCAACTCGCTGTCAGCGATTTTCTCCTCCAGCAAAGAGATCCGACTTTGCCTGATTGGCACAGGACGATTACTCTTGACCGTACAGTGCCGTACGAACAAGCTATATAAGACAGAGTCACAGTGTAGTACAGCCAAGCGTCAGCTGAGAAAGGTCTTCGGAATGTCGATCCACCCCATTTACGCTCTTGGACATGTTGCTGGCTTCTGCTCTCGGTGCGGACCGATCACCTCCCGAATCGACACTCACAGTTCCCTTGAACACAAACGCAAAAAGCTCCTCGGATTCGCCTCGAAGCTGAATGACAGAGGCCTCCGCCGCCGCTTGTGCGATCCGAGCCGTGGCCAAAGCTCCTCGGAGCTCGGCAACTTCCTGCAGAAGCTCCGACTCCCGTGCCTGACAAAGAAGCAGATTCTCTACTCAGCGCTACCCGGTGCCCTTCGCAACAATTCTTCGCCCAGTGCTTTGCTGGTGCATGTTTTCCGACTGGCATCGAAGCAGCGTTGGAAGCTGATGCTTATTTACATCCAGCTCGCATGCTTCACAAGTACGGGTCATTAACTCAATTCTCAGCTGTTGTAGCCCTGCGAAACATGAATCTGCCCGGCTCTGGCTTCGAAGCCTCAGATGTACAGCTACGGTCAACCCAGCAGGTTGGCCAAGTCATCATCGTCGATGTCGGACTCCTCACCTGTGGAGCCCGACTGAACTTCGGGCAAAGGATCCTCGGGCAAAGGATCCTCGGAAAGCTCGGCGACTGCTCTTTCAACCTCGTGGGCCGCTTCGTGTGTTTGAAAGCTCTGTGAGAAAGGGATGTTCTCGACAATCTCTTCTGGCAAGCTTTCGGAAGCGGGTTTGGAGAAGGGCTGCGTGACCACTGTGGGCAAGTCCAACTCACGTGCAGAAAATTCTGCCCGAGGGCCATCAAACACCTGAGATGGCTCGTCAAAGCTACCACTGCCCTCAGGAATCGCTTTCGCTGATGGCGCACAGGCAGGCTGGACACCATCGCCCTCGGAGCCAATCATGGCGTCTTGCGGCTTTTGCTTCGTCGCGGCAGATTCAGCCACGGGCATCTGTGTCACAAACTCGTTCTTGCGCTGTACTAAATCACCTTTAGCCAGCAACTCTTCGACAGAACGTTGCAACGAACAGCGCTTCCACAAGCACTGCACAGCTTCCCGCATGACGTGTTTTTGACAACGCTCTGCGACACGGACCAGAAGGGATGCTCTCAAGAGCGTCATTGGCTGGACTTGAACCAGACTTCCAGATTCCCACAACAGTGCCGCAAGCTTGATAATCTCGTCCACACGGGATTGGTCATCAGACAAAGATCTGACAAAGTCTTCGTCCGAGGTCACGGTCGCGTTTGGTTGCGTTCTGGGATTTCCGTCCGCATGCTTCGAGTCTGCAAACACACCTGGGCTTAACGAGTTTTCGCCCAGTGGCGATCTCGAATAATCCTCTGCCTGTGTTGCAACCGCAGAATTTGCTGCTGCGTCTTCTCCCTCTTGCCTGCGGACCACCGCCGCTGGCCAGGCTGCCGGCATCTCCAGCCCCTGCATCTGCAGATTTGCAGCCGGCGCAGAGACATTTTGCAGTGTTAGGACAACCTTTGTTTGCAGCTCATCGAAACGCTTTCGTCGAACATATGTTTCCCAGCGCCGCAAGGCAAAGCGGAGCTGCAAACCCACGACAGAGGCCAACGCTTGCACGCCAGCACCACAGGAGTCAAACGAGCGCCGGCTTTCGATGCTGCCTCGCGGTTGCGGCCTAGCCACCTGTAGCAAAGGCCTCGAAACCTGTGGCCTACTGTCCCGGGGCAAGGCTGTGGGTGAAGCATCTCTCGACGGCTCATCGGAAGCAGTTGCAGACCTGACTGGACTGGCGATCTCATCAAGTTTATGCAGGACTTGCTGCTGCCTGCGCTTTGCCCACTGGTTGTAAATCTTCCCAACTTGAATCGCCAGGTAAGAGTAGTTCTTTGTCGATGACATGAGGCCGATCCATGTCCGCAGAGTACAATAATGCCGCAACAAATCCTTTACCAACTCAGAATACCTACTCTTCGGGGCATGTTGAAGAGAACACCATAACAACATCAAAAACTTTGTCGGAGATCACAATCAACTACAATGCAAAAGAGCCCGAGGCTGCAGTTTAGAAACCTGCTTCAATGCTTCAACCTGCACAGCTAACCCGGGATGGAACCAGCATTCGACTGCCTGCGTGCGACCTACTGACATACAAAACTTGATTGTCAACTGTGACGGGAAGTTTGGCCGGGCAAGCAGGATCTTTGGCCATGTCTGGGTCACTTCGTTCCGATTGACCCTACCTCAGAAAAACCATCACCTTATATGGTGACTCAATTCAGAAACGCTGGCGTTATTGACGTGTCGACCGACACGTGCCTGCCTCGAAACGTGTCCGCAAAGCCGCCAGCTCATCCTGTGGATCACATTGAGTTTATATCCGTCCTTCTAGTCACCAGAAAAACCTTGATGCCACAATGATGTAGTCTCATGCGGCCTTCATGGCTGAAGAATCAGAAGCGCAAGCTCTTGGAACACTCATTGGTGACGTCGGCTCGGATGTCGAAGCCTGAACGCAGGCTCGTCAGCACAGTGTCCTTCAGCCGCAAATATTCGGCCGAGCAACGGGTGAAAAAAACGATGTCGATGTGCAGTCTTGACGAGATGGTGCCGGATCCTTGGCCCCAAACATAATGCAAAAAGGGCTCTTGAGAACACAACTGCCAGCAGGTGGACGCACAAACACATCAAAGCCAAGGCTCCTGTTGCAATAGGCTTGGTTTCAAAGCCTGGGCCAGGGCCAAGGCGCTCACTGTTGATGTTGTCGGTGCGGAACCTCGTCCCCGACCTGTATCAAGGAAACATCTTCAAACGATCACATCTTCCACGAAGTGAACATCAAGTCTGGCCTGCGGTCGCCGACGGGTTGTGGACCTGCCGATCAAGGTACAACACCATCGCAAGCAACAAATTCCTCGCGTTAGGTGCACCTCGCGGCGACTGCATGTTGCAGAGGAAGAACGCCGACCTTTCGTTCCGACAGCGTGAAATCCCGTTTTCACGCAACACCTCCCAGTGGGACCTGCCACAGATCGACTGCTCCGGCCGGATGCATGATCAGTTGGAGCCGGAAGTTGTTTCCCACCCTTCACGGATGCGTAAGGACGGGATGCCTGACGGACAACCACCCCATGTCCGTCTCAAAACAACTAATTAAATTTCTACACCAAATTCAAAATGACATTGCTGTCTTCAGCATCCTTCTTGTCCGCGCCCGTCGGCACAGGATCTGCTAAACCTTTGCCAGCCTGACACAATAGGAATTCAGTGCATTCGTTCACTTGGTGCCACCGAAACGAACTTGCTGGAGCCTTCTTCGCAGAGGCGCATGGCTTGAATGCATTCATGGGAACACATGGCTGGAAACGCTCTCGTGCTGGGTTTATGTCGTCGCGATTAATTATTCGGGCTCGGTTCGCCAGCCATTAGATCAAGGCGGCTATTGAGTGCTGCTGTCGGCACACGGCCGGCATTGCATAAAGCTTTGTGAACCGGCTTATTTGCAAAGCAGCTGTCATGTTGTAACTTGTGTCGAGAATGGTGTCATCCATGAAACACTGCCATCAACCTGGCATCCCTGCCACTGGACGTGAATGGTCTCGACCACTTGCCGCGAACATGGTTCATGGCCCAAAAGCGCGCCTTGTTCAAGGGCCTGCCGGATGTGATGAACGCATCCATGCTTCACATCAAATGTTGGCCCGCCTCTTTGTCAGCAGAACGAACTCACCATGGAGGCTTGCTGGGGCAGAACATGTCTGCTGTGATTCCTGCTTTGCTGCATGTAAAGAAACCTCTAGTGAAGGATGCCATTCCGACATGTCAAATCTGTTCGGGGCTGGGAAATTATGTTCTGTTGCTGGGCTGCTTCAGACCTAGCAGCCTGGTCCATGGACGGGAATTCTACTAAATTGTATGCTGCGCCCGTTTGCAGTTGCCCTTGCGCTTGCGCAATCAAGTTAAGCCATCGTCCTGTGCGGGACATGAAACGAAAACAGTTCGACGTGCCATTCTGTTGCAAGTATGTTTGCAATCATCGCTGGTTTTGTTTCCACTCATGCAGATTGTTGCTACATCTCATCTGCCAAGCCTGCCTCATTTGGAAAATGATCAAATGCCCATGGCGTCATGGTGAATGTGAGCTGAGGAAGCAAAGCCGCTACTTCGCCTTGCATCTGTCCGATGCTATCCAACAATCGAAAGTAACGTGATGGGAAATCGCGAGGACGGTTGCCCGGACGCCTGTGATCGCAGCTCCGCAAGAGGAGCCTGCGTCACATCATAGTCATAGTCCTCCTGCGATAGAGGCTCTGGTCTTCCAAAGTTGCAGATG